ACCGACTGCTCCCTTTTTCCGCCAACTTGATCCTTTCCTCCAGGTCTCAGCACATTGGAACAAAAGGCGAAGTAAGACCCTTCGACGACTCGCCAAGTGGACTCGGCGATCCTCAGGCCTTCATTTCTTCGTTCTTTTCAGCCTTTTCGTTCCTTTTTGTGATGTAGTGTCCATGCTTTCCTTCAAATTTCAAATACCTGAAACTTAAGAGTTTTCATCAGATATTGAGATAAAATAAGCATTTGAGGACACAATTTCTATCAAAAATATAGCCCTATATGAGTCCAATTTGTGGGCTCATCAGAATCATGCCACTATAATATCAAAATAATACCACTTCTAACTTTAATTGTCATTTATTAGATAAAAAATATACGAAATTAATTTCAATATAATTCCAAAATCGTACCAACATGATATAACCAATATACTAAATTCAAATAAACTTTATGCAATTTTTTAAACCAAAAACATACAAAAAATGTATGCTCAAACAAAATCTATATTCAAACAAATTTTATGTAATTTCAAAAAATGAATATCCATACCAAAAACGTCATAATTAAAAGTTTAAACTATTATACACAAATAAAATCTGAATATTTTTTTATTATCTCTGTTCATAATTTTTTTTTTTACGTTTGGTTTGCATACCAACACAAATAAAAAATTGTAAAGAATACTAACATGAAGGATCTCATCTACCACTATGCTTTATTAATACTGATAAGAAGTCATCCATTACAAGAAAATGGAGATTATTGAATAAAAACGTATATGCATTAGATGAGAGTGACAACTAACAGAGAAAATAATGAGAAGAGAGAGAAACATTCTAACAAGAAAAGAAAATTGTTTGAATGATTTTAACTGCTTTGAGCTAAACAAGAAAAACAAATATTCCTCTTTTTTTATGAATCTCCTATTTATATGCCCCTATTAATTATCATTAATTATTTCAAATCATTTACTACTAATATATCCGTTTTTACCTTATTTATTTTTCACACTAATTAATTTTTACTATTATTTTAAATCATTTTTTATTTTACTTAAATGTTAAAACATGCAATCTTTTATTGTTATAACTTGAAATATAAAGAATAATGTCATAACTTATAATTATTAGCCTTGTATATGTCAATTATTAAATTTACACATACTTAATTTACTCTATACCCACTTAATTTATTTTTGCTTTATTTTCTGGGGTTGTGCTTTTTTAAAAAGGAAAAAGTGTGGGGTCATGGATCTCTTTGGCCTTCTTAAAACTTGGGGTATATTTGTGAATGTGGGGTCATGAGCTTATTTATTATTTTTAAAACATGGGAAAAAGATATAAGTTTACAAGAATATATTATAATCCCTTTACATTTTAAAAAATATTATTATTTGATGAAAATCGAGGCAAATATTTTCTGAATCTCTGTTTGTTTTCTGTTCCTACGTTTTTTCTTCTCCAAGTGCAAGAGTTTTCATCTTTCAAGAACATCTTCTATTCTTGAAAGACGAAACTAGTATAATCAACCATTTCACCCACCTCTTCCATTAACTTATTCAACCATTTCATCGTCCTAAACCCCTTTCAAATCTTCATTTGTTTTATTCAATCTTCTTCCCCAAGTTCAAAGCTTTCATCTTTGGTAAGTTGAATCTTCTGTAATAGTATTTTTTGGTAATTTTTAGACGTATTTGGTTGTTTATTTTGTTATAGTAGTGTAATGATTTAATGACCCATTTTTCTGGACTGTTTTTCTTCATGTTCTTGTTTAGGATGAAGTTTTTTCGCCGTATTCAATGAATATTTGTGGTCTCTAATGATGTTTTTATTTGGATATAAATATTTGACCCTATTTGGTTGTTTATTTTCTTAAAATTTTATTATGTTTATCTCGCCTATTGATTTTGAAATTTTTTACTAAACTTTGATCGACTCTAGTGGCGTTTCTGTCAATCGCATTATTGATTTCTATTGGATATGCTATTTATTTTGCATGCTTTATTTGAGGTTTACTATGGTTATGTTAATAAACTAGTGATCGATAAATATGTTTTTGCTTGTATATTATAAAGTATGGCTAAAACTAGAGGTGGAAGCACTAAACCATCTGCTCATGTTGCTCTTAGAAGTAAGAAACGAAAGGCTGAAGAAGTCTTGAAAACATGTAAAAAGAAAAAAATTGTAGTCGAAGAATTCGAGCATGAATCAGAAACTGAAGCAATGGCGGAGATTGACAACTACCAGGACAGTAGTGCTGATGCTAGTGATAATGTTGAGAATAGTGAAGGAGACCGTGATAGCTAGGAGAGTAGTAGAGACACTAGTCGAGATGAGGATGATCCTCTATCCTTGCCAATTTGTAGAGATATCTCGTGTGAGTTGTATGACCTAGCGACGTGGTTAGATGAGGTAGGATCGTTTCCAGCAAAGATCTTTGTAAGATCAAGGATGACAGTTTATCGTGTCTTTCGGAAAATTCTAATTGAACAAAAACTTTGTAATGAATTTAAGGGTACTTGCTTTGGACATTTGAGGAACATTCCGGATTATTTTAAGTTCAATGGATGGATTGTCCATTATATGTTGTTGCGACGTATGAGAAATGACAAAAGTTGCATGAAATTTGGTTTTGTGTGAATGATAAGCCTGCATGTTTTGGCTTAAAAGAATTTGCATTGATTACGGGGCTAAATTGCTAAGCATACACCCGTGAATCAAAACTGAACAAAGTCCTTAGAAAATGTGAGAATTTTCATTTCAAGGTGATAAGGAACAAGAACATCACTGGTGCAAAGTTGATGAACTTAATAAATGGTAGCAAATTAAATAAGGAGCAGAAATTGAAGTGCTCTTTAGTTTGGTTCGTCCACTCGATCTTGCTTGCTCATGATCGGTCTAAGATTGTGGATTCAAATCATATCAATATGACAGATGATTTGGATTTATTCAAAAGTTATCCATGGGGAAAAGAGTCTTTTGATTTAACATTGACCTATCTGAAAAATTGAATTAATTTGAGGAAGCAAGGGAATGTATAATGAAAAGAAAAATGCATCTTATGCTCTGTACGGCTTTCCCTGGGCATTTCTGGTAATTATTATCAACTATTTTGTCGATTTATGATATACTCTTATTTATTTGTGTAGTACTTCATAGACTCTATTTATTTGTTTGTTCTTCTATGGATTCCAGGTTTGGATATTTGAGGCTTTTTCATATCTTGAAAAGTATGCCAGAAAGTCCTTGAATACTCCATTGCCCATTTCCCGTTTACTAAGATGGTACACATCAAAGAGCGATAATATAGTTGAAGATGATCCATTTAAGTACAAAGGAAGAAGTACAAATGTATACATTTATTTGTTATTATCTAACAATATTTTTAAATTAGTGAGTATTGTGTAATATTTATATATTTTTTAGATTGTGCACCCATACCTCACCCCTACTATCCGTGAGATGTGACAGAATTACATGAAAATATTTAAGCCACATACAGATGAAGTGAAGGTCACGGTCATCGATGTCTTGAAGACCCAATTGAAAGGTGTGACCGTCACCACTGCAGGTGATGAATATTTGGGTGATCACAATATTATCCAACCTTGTGTGCATTTTGTTTCTAGTAGACAAAAAAATGTACCGAGTACTTATAATGATGGGAATTTGGAAAATCTGAGTGATATGTTGTATCCCTTGAGCAATTAATGGTAGAAGTTGTTGCTTATGTACGGAAAGAAAAATTGAGGGAAACTGAAAATAATAAAAAAAAACAACAAGAGAAAGGTAAATTAGTGTATATATTTATTGTTAGTGTCAAGTAATTTATTCCTATAATTTTTGTCAAAGTAATATAGTACATGTGAACATTACAACAGTTGATGAAGACCTTGCAGCAGTTGATGAAGACTTTGTTGCAATTGATGAATACTTTATAGACGGAGTTGATGAAATGGCAGTTGATGTTGTTGGTAAAGTGACAGGTGATCATGTTGATGAAGTTGTAGTTAATGAAGTGGCAGGTGATGTAGTTGATGAAGTGACAGATGATGGTGTGGCAGTTGATGATGTGGTTGGTGATAAAGTGGCAGGTGATGATGTGGCAGTTGATAATGTGGCAGGTGATTAAGTGGCAGTTGTTGATGAAGTGACAATTGATGATATTGATGAAATGGCAGGTAATGAAGTGGCATGTGCAGTTGATGATATAACAGGTGCAGTTGATCCAGTGACAGTTGATATTATTGATGAAGTGGTAGTGGCAATTGATGTTGTGGCAGTTGATGATGTGGCAGGTGCAGTTGATCCAGTGGCAGTTGATGTTGTTGATGAAGTGATAGTGACAATTGATGATGTGGTAGGCAATGACGTGGCATGTGCATTTGATCCAGTGACAGTTGATATTATTGATGAAGTGGCAGGTGATACAATTGATGAAGTGGCAAAAGAGAAGGAAGAAGAAAAAAACAAAGGAGAAGTCAGTAGATGATGAATAAGAGAAAGAAGTAGATGACTGTGCTAAAAATTCAGTGGATGTGATGAGTATCGTTATGGAAATCAATGGTTAGATTAATGGTGAAGAGAAAAACAATTGAAGTGGTTTTTGAAGTATTGGCATTTAAAGACAATGGTTTTTAAAGTATTGGCATTTTAAGACATTTTGAAGTTTGTGGTTTTGCTGTTTCGAGGAGAAAAAATGTACATCTGAAAGATTATAAATGTTTTTGTATATGGTTAATGGTAGTTTTGAGAAACAATTTAACATGTTTTTTCATAAAGGGGTTTTTATGAATCTATGTTTTAATAATATGTGATTTTTGCTTAACTTCAGTTTCTTACCATTATGGGGTAAAATTATTTAGCAGTCAATTATCGACAATAAAGTTGTATGCTTAACTGTTGATTTATAACATCAACGATTAAAAATGAAAGATATAAGAGTGCAATAAATAGAGAGAAATGCTTTTATTTATTCATATTACATTCCTGTTACACATTTTCAAAAAGCAAACACCAAAAATAAACCACACAATACAGTTTTTAGGCATTTTTCTTTTTCTTCTGCCAAAATCAATCTTTCTTTTAGTTGATCTCTATCTCCTTCAACATCTTTTAGCAACACTTTCAAGTGATTCCTCTGCTCTTCGGCTTTTTTTAAGAAAGTCATTAGCAAATCCCTATTTTCTTCGGATTGCCGTAGCTTTCTTAATAATTCAAATTTGGCAACACCTTGAAAATTTGATGGGCTACTCGTTGATGATTCATTTTCAAGCCACCTAAAAAATGAGCATAGGCGAACTACACAATTAAAGAATTGTCGACCTGGATTTGTATCGGTGTGTGACATCCTCAATGTAGCTGGATTACCACAATGACAATTGTAAGAATTTTTTTCTTTGGATGTCTGAGATGCTTGAGACATTGTAAAAATGGAGGTGTTTGAGTTGTTTATGAGGGATTGCCTTCCTTTTATACAAAAAAAAACCAGATGTTACCGTTGAAAAAGTGGAATTTGAAGTTTTGTTACCGTTGTAAAATTTGTACATCTAAATATTTACTGGTTATTAAAATATATATAGACCCTTTATACAATCAACACATCTCTATGTGCGTGTTGTATGTATGACCAATGAGATTTACACTTTGACATTAGTAAGGTGTATTCGGGTTTATATCTATTTTAAAGCATTGTCGATACTTCACCTACTAGAATCTGACACTTATATGTAGACCAAAACTAGTAGAATTTAGAAAAGGCAATAATTAATTAATAATAAATTATATTTTTGAAATTTATCCAATTAAATGAGTTGAAACAAGTCATATGATCATGTAAGAGTCCACATAAATTGGGTTTGGTGATTAGAGATGTATGAGGAAGAGTTGTGGTTATACAATTAACATCCTTAGAATAATGTTTGAGAAAGCTTAAGTATGTTGTAATGATGTAACTTGTTATGTGTGGTTATACAATCAACATCTTTAGAACATAAGCATGTGATCGTGTATGAGTCTAGATAAATTGGGGTGGCAATCAACAATGTGTGGTTAAACAAGGAGTCGTCCTCGATCATTTTTTTTCTTGCAAGTGTAACATCTCGCAAGTTGAAATAACTAGGAAGAAGTAAAGAATTGGAAATAGTCATTTTAGGAAAAAATGAAAATCTGAAAATTTTGTTAAGTTAGGATAAGTTGAGTTTTGGTCAACTTCAAACGGCCATATCTCCTAGATCAGGATGATTTATATGTACTTCCAGATATGGTTGGAAAGCTCTTGGAATAATCTTTCCAACGCCACCGAGTTTGTGCAATTCCGAGCTTTTATGAGTGAGATAGGCCCTTTGGAAGTTGGGTTGTTCAAATAAGGAAATGTCCAATCCGGATTTTTAAAGGGTGTTTTGGTCTTTTTCATACCATATTATTTTAATTCGTTTTTGGTGAATTAATTAAGGGTCAAAACTGAATTGGTTCAGTTTAGGGAATTGGAGATTTACGCTAGCGTTTTTGGAGAAAGAACGCAAGAGAAGAAAAGAGGAGAAAGAGCAAAGTTTGTCGTTCTTGAAGGTTTAGCTTGTGGATTTCGACAAAGGTTAATCCCTAAAGAGGTATGTGAGTTCACACAGCGTTGGGTTCGTTCACCCATGCGCCAAACATGTTTTATTCAGTGTAATTTCGTCCTAAAAATATTGAGAATTTGATGTTCTTGAGTTGTATTCTTGAATTGCTTTCGTTCTTGAATTTGAGATGAGATTGAGGAGTTCTTGAGAGTTTAAGATTGATTATTAGAGTTGCTCTGAGTTAGATTCTTGTGTATATGTTGTGGGTACCTGAATCTAAAGAGATATGGAGAAAAAGAATCGAAATTAGGCGAATTGGGACTAGAAAACGAAGAAGGAACAAGTCGGGCAAATCTGGGTACCAGGTCAGCGACTTTCCTCAGATTTGAAAATTTTCCCCTCGCGTCGCAGAGCGGTCACGGACCGTTCTGCCTCAAAATTGATTTCGCGACCAAAAATTTAAATACATCTCCGCATCGCTAACCAGTTTTCAGGCAGTGATTTCTTGATCTTTTCTCATGTTTAGCTATCTAAAATCATTCCTAAACATCATGAGATCTTTCCTATCACAAAACACAATCCTTGAATGCATAATTCAATTCAAGGAAAGTTAAGAGTCAAGTTAAGAGAAATTCATAAAGCTTTCCAAAAGTCTTTTACAAATGATTTAACTTTGTTTTAAGACTTGAGTTTTGAGTTCAGTAAAGAGTAAAGTTGAAATTCATTTCTTCAAAAGTATATGGGGACTATGTATTCCCAAAGAGTTTAAAATATTTTCACATTTAAACAAGTAAGGAAACTTTGATTTCCAAAAGAGCCTTTGAGCTAATTTTCAGTTAAAGAGTAATGTTTTCACATTTGAGCAAGAAAGGAAACTTTGTTTTCCAAAGAGCCTTTGAACTAGTTTTCAGAAAACAGTAAATGCTTTCATAATTAAGCAACAAGGGAAACTGATAGCCTTTGAGCTAAGTTTTGAACAATTATCTCAAACTACATAAAGAAGTTATGTTTGTAATCATAAAGAGCTAGTATATTTTAGGAGCAGTATTGAGCACCGATATGGGGGAGAGTTCAGAAAACTCCGAGCTGCGATAAACCATGTAGCCATCATGGGTAGAAAAGGGTCATACTTTTTAGATGATTCCTTTAGTGCATTTTAGCATAGACTAGTGGATCCACTTAGTAGTTCAGGTTCTATACCCCCAACAAGGTATAGGACGGCCCTGGCAGCGTGAGGTAAAATGTTGTATTATCACTTATAGCTCTTAAGTGATGGTTGTCGATTAGAGAACTCCCATAACAGTATTTTGTATTTTTATATACATCAGAAATATTTGTATTTTCATATACAAATAGAGTTCATAATGTATCTTTGCATACATACAAAGTTATTATTGTATTTCTAAATACACAGAGTTGAAAATCATGTTTTAAAGCTTTTCTTTATACTGCATTCATATACACTGCTTTTTATTGAAATCAGTTCAGTTCAGTTGAGCCAGGTAAGTTCTTCAGTTCCTTTCAAGCTTATGTCTTGTTTTAGAATTCCTCTCGCATACTCGTACATTTAATGTACTGATGCCATTTGGCTTGCATCTTATTATGATGCAGACACAGGTAATCAGGATCAGCATCCATCGCATCGTTGATCCAGTTGATCAGTCAAAGTCAGTTGGTGAGCCTCTTTGCTTTCCGGAGGATCTCTTTGGTTATGTTATGTTTTATTGCTTGCTTATTTCAGTTGTTAGGATGATCGGGGGTCTTGTCCCGACATCCCTCAGAGTTTAGAGGCTTCATAGACAGAGTTAGTGATGTTAGTTCATGAGTCTTTACTTCTCCTTTACAGTTAAGTTGAGACTTGAGTTGCCACTTTGGCAGTGAATGTTATTATAATACATTCTAAGTTATATTTTTGAGCAGTTCAGTTTACTTTAAAAGTATTTTTCTTCATGAGTTAAGTCTTCCACTGAGTAAGTAAACCAGGACAAGGGTTCGCTTGGGGCCATCAATGGTTCTCGAGTGCCAGCCACGTCCGGGGTGTAGTCTTGGGGCGTGACAACAAGTTTTTCGGCAGCAGGCACCATTTGATTACCCATTGATTTGAAGATATATGCATGCCTCTCCCTGGACAATTCTCTAAACCTCTTAGCAATCGAATTAAATATTAATGCCACGGGATACTCCCTTTCGTCTATCAACATAGGATTGGGTGACTCGGCAATATTTGTAGTCATCACATCATATCTATTGCCAGGAAAATGTGCCCTACTCCACTTCTCAAAACCAATATCATACTCAAGGATGATAGCTACCACGGAGAATTTTTTCTTGAATTCTACAAAATTATTGTCAAACTCCTCCAAAGAATAAGCCTTTGCCGCATTGTAGTAAAGATAAAGATTTTCACCAAGGTGCCTCATACAATATCCGTAGTGAGCATGATTGTAAACATTCACAATACCATTGGCGATGCTCTTGTGTCTATCGAAGATAAAGCACAAATCTGGTTCATCGACCACAATCTCCTTCAATTTCTCAAAGAAGAATGTCCAAGATGCATCATTCTCTTTGTCCACGACACAAAAAACAATTGGATAAACATGGTTTTCCGTATCTTGTGCAACAACGCTCAACAAAGCGCCCTCGTATTTACCATGTAAATGAGTGCCATCAACCGCAATTACCTTTCTCATGTGGGCAAATCCCTTAATGCAAGCACCAAAGGTCAATAAATAATACGTGAACCTATGACTATCCTTGTTTACCATGATAAAATAGCTAGAACCAACATTAAGTGTCTCGAACATGTAGGAAAAAGTCGATAAACATGAATATCCGTTCTCCGCTGTCCCTCGGACCATTTCCTTGGCAACCTCACCTCCCTTCCAACATTTCCAATAGCTTGGACTACAACGAAAAGAATTAAACATAGCCCTTTGAATATCTTTAACATTTGGACCCTTGCCATCACGATACATATTTACACAAAGTGAAGGAATGACTTTGATTGAGATTTTTCTATGGCTACTGTTGGCATGTTCAACGCCACAACTATGCTTGCCAATGTATTTGTAGATACGAAATCTATCCGAACACTTATATTTCCTCACCCGCAACATCCATGCACAGTTGTGAGATACACATTTCACATTTAAATATTTAGTACAACTCCTCAAAGTAGAAAGATCAAAAGATTTCTTTGCCGCTGCTTCGGCTAATAACAATTGCAACTCATTATTGTTACTGAAAGTTTGATTTAGGCATAAATTAGTTCCATCGGAGAAGGAATGGTTGGATTGTGATCTCAATTCCTGTTCTCCCTACATTTCTTCACAACATTTGCCTTCGGGATCTTCTGCATCTACTGGCTGATTTTCCACATTCATTGGATGATCATGTATATTCATTGAATGATCACCCAACTCTTATTTGAATGATCACCAAAGCTCTCATTTGAATGATCACCCAATTTTTCATTTCCAATAGAATCATTGTCGTCGTTAAATGAATTTGTTGGTTCAATTGGAGGCCTCACATTGATGTTTATCCTCAATGTAGACCTAGAGCCATCAATACCAATATTTAACATGTACAAGCTAACGTGCCGATCATTTTTTATGAATGTGAGATGTATTTCCCCCCTCCCATTCATTTGATAACTAATCACCAAGTCATTTGGCTTGCAAGTTAACTCACCGGTCTCAATTACACTTGCAATCATATCGTCATATGAACCATTGCGACACAACGCAATGGGCACTGTCGTCTTACTAAAAGATTTCCAATTCCAGCTTTTGGGAGTCTCCTCCCATACTCCCATGTAATCTCTACCAGCAACAACAAATTCAGTTACTACCATTATAAACTACAAATATCGATACTAGATTACAGTATCAGTTTTTAACGATCTATGAGGTACGAAATCCATACAAAAATGCGACCGTATCAGATCAGGGTACAAAATTCAGCTCCTGCAATGACGAAACATTTTTTTAATGCTTTTAAACTAAAGAAATGTATCTACTAATGAGTTATCAAGTGATTATGAAAGATTTCTCAAATATCTAAAATGGCGGGAAAATCATTTTGAAGCTTGGTTTTTGAAAGAAAATGGAGTAGGAGATGAACATGATTTTACCTTGAAAATGGATATTATGATCAGAAAACTCGTTGGAATCGACAATCTCGACAACATAAAAAACGAGCTGCTCTTGTTTCCCGTTTGGCTTTTTTTTTTTTTCTAATATAATTTTTAACAATTGAAAATAGATATATATTATTCCATGTTTGTTGGAAAAGAGGGGGGGGGGGACCAAAGTGGAGATATGAAAACTTAGGGAGGTCTTTTGTATGCCTTAAATAGGGCACATGAATGATATCATTAATAGTGGCTATACCACTAATTTTTCAAGACTTGTGACTTAATGACACATTAAGTCTTTAGAGTGACTATTTTGCCAACTCTCCCATAATGGTAGCTGCAACAGAAGGTAAATAGAGATAGAACCTGAAACTTTGATTGCTATAAAAGACGGATGACCTAGTACCAATGCAACTCAACTCTGTATGCATCTATGTACATGTAATAAGCTATCAAACCTATACTCGGACCGGAGGTGTAATCTCTTCCATATAGGCTAATCCATACTCTAACCATTGTATATATATAAAAATGGCCAAATAAGGCTCTTTCCGCCTGATTATAGCTCAAGAGTATGTGCATATGTACATATATGAAAATATGAGACTTTCTAACTTAACAATGGTCTGTAGAAGTTTATACGGACCATAAGTAAGTCTGTAGAGTTCCTCTGATAGTTTTTAAGTTAGGGTTATTTGAGTCTTTTCCTACACTTTTACCCCTAAACTATGTCGTTTTGACCCTATATCTAAGTCCTATAAATGAACTACTCTTCAAAAATTTACCCATTCCCTCTCATTCACTCCAAAGCCCTAAAATCTCTCAAGGGTTTCTCTCCATACTCACTCTAAGGATTCTCTCAAGTGGTTTAGGGTTCTTCAAGCTTTCAAGCTTCTTTCTCCACTTCAAAGGCTACAGTTCATCAAAGTCATATGGAAATTCATCAATGGATCCTTCCATCGATTGAGTCCCAATATTTTCTCCAATTCTCTTCTATGAATTCAACTCAAATTTCCAGTGTTTTGCATGTTTCTTCATTGGTTCAATTGTTTATGGCTTAATTCAGTATATTTGATCTTATTATACATGATTTGATATAAACTGCATGTTTCCTAATGAATGTCATTGAACCCCGCCTTATGCCTGTTTTATGATTATGAATTATGTTTTGAAAAAATGCATGCATCATGAAATTGAGACATTTATGAACCAAGCATGTTTTTAGATAAAGTATCAATATGTTTTATGAATGGTTTCTTTCAATTGAAGTATTCTCATTATGAAAAGATAATCACGATTTTGATTCTTTAGATAAGTGTCTTACCTTTCCAAGTATTTCCGCTTATGAGTTGTGCTCTGTTTGATATCAAAGATGTTGATTTGAGACATGATTTTTTTTATTTCATTCTTAGTATTAAGCTTATGTCAAGTGACTTGTTTAGGGTCTTTTGGGGCTCTATTCGCCATGTCACATCTATGGGGGTAGCTTGGGACATGACAAATATTGTATTTAGAGAATCAAGTTTTAAAAGAGTCCTAGGTGTCTAACAAGCCACATTTAGTAGATTTTTGTTCATGAGTGTAAAGCACACCACATTTATGAATAGAAGGCTATAAGATGTTTATTAAATACTTCACTTCTTTAATACTTCTAAGTCGTGTGATAGAGTTGAACTTTATAAAGATTCCTTCTAACTCTTGTTCTATAAGCTTTCAGAACATGCCATCAGAGAAAAGTTCTGGTGAGAAAGAATGTGAATGGGTAACTAAAGATCCTCAAGCGCTGGTTGATCCCTTGGCCGAGCAAGTCTCACATGCCGAATTTAAAGCTACTTTTTAAGTGTTGGCTCAAGCCATGACAACACAAGCTAATACAGAGGTTATAGCTTGTGTGAACGTAAATGTGGGGATCATCTACACTAGTAATTTGATTTTTAGACAATGTGGACTTGAAATCGATACAATATGATCACTTCGACAACTTTTGGGAGAAACATTAGTGTGAGGTCGTCTAGCTAGCTTTAACAAGTTCAGAGTACAAAGACATATGGAACTTGGATTTTGCAAAATGACTTTGAGAAGTTGGGTCAATATTAGGCTATTGAACAATTCAAGTCTTTGTCTGAACAAGCCAAGAAAGCTAGAAACATTGTGAAGGGTGGCTCGTTGCACAACGAGGGTGAGAAGAGTGTTGGAACCATATAGAAAGAGATTGTAAATTTCCTCAAATTAAACTTCTAATTCATAGATTTAAATAAAGTTGGTTAAATTTACTTGATTGCCTAAAATTATATTTTATTTGCAGAAAAATTACTGGGGCGCACCCTCTTCAAAATGAGGTTTTCTAGCAGACACATATAGAAAAGAAGAAGAATAACTCAGATCCGGATGAATGGATTGAGCAAAGAGCTAAACATGGTTTTAGCTTAAAATTTTGAGATAAAAAATAGTACATCTATTATGTATATATATTGATGCTCACTTCATTTTTTAATATGCAAAGAGAGTATGAACAACACTTGTTTCAGTTTAGCCAAACTCTCCAAGCTCTGGGCAATCTGATCCAGCTTACACCTGAAGAAGCCACTCAAATTTGAAAGAAAAAAGTGGTAGAGGGACCATAAGGGAAGAGTCTATAGGATGGGTTCTAGATATGGCCTATGATGCATTCAATTAGGACTAGAAAGTATATGATCGTCACACAAGCGGAGGCAATTGACTATGTTCAAATAGCTGCTATATCGCAGGAAATCGCACAAATTACATATGCCTTACCAGAGTTCGCGATACAACGAATAACTTAAAATGTAAGCATGAGCAGAACCATTGTGGAAATCAAGGAACAAGTGATTAACCTTGCTCGTTGGCGAAGTGCATTTCGTTCTTCAGGAGAGTTCTCTAGTATCGAGGAAACTGAAAGTGATGAAAACGAATATATAGCCTCCACCTCTTAGCATCCATTTTCTATTGTCATTCTATGACTTTTGACACTTTGTGAACATTTTGAAGTTTTTGGAACTTTTGAAAGACTTTATAAGTCTTTATGTCATATGATTTTAGTGTTAAATGATGTTGAATGAAGTTTAACTATGATAGTGTGTGTATTTGATTAATCGTTTGGTTTATATGAAATAATTTGATTGAATATATATTGAATTGTATGTGAGTTCTACTATAAAAAAAATGCAGAAAAGCAATGGACAAAATCCCTTTTGTTTGAAGCTTTTCTGAAAAAAGAAGTTTAATAAATTTTTTTCAGAAAAACGCATCGTCCATTGCTTATTTTAAAATAAAAATAAAAATTGCAATGTCATCCGTTGCTTTTGAATAATTTTTTTAAACGAAAAAAACAAGAAAAGGACCCCGTCCGTCATTCTAATGTGACGCAGTCCTTCACATATTGAAAAGCGCTGAGGACAAAAACACCAAAAGTAACTGCATCATTTTTCTAAAAACGACACTATCTTCCCCTTTTGGCCGTCGATTTTCAAGTAGTTTATTAAAGTGAACTAAATACGTAATTCTAAATAACACAAGTGCAGTGGAGTTCTATAATTTTTCTAAATTTTTATTGTGCATACGATTATGAACCAATATACAATACTGAATAACGCAAATGATTACACCAAAACAACATAGTTATTACATTTGAATTTAGTTGAACCAGAGTAAATTTTAGAACAAACATAAAATAATACAGTAAAAATGAGAGCTTCTCAATATATTGTGAGATGTGGAAAGGAAGTGATGAAGGTTTTAAAAGTTAAAGTTGAGACTTATAGGGGGGGAAATATGAACAAACAAAGTAAGATTTGTTAAGTTGATGCTGATGAAGAGTATCAAGAATTGAAATATCAGTGTTCATTATGAAACCAAAACTTTACAATTAGTATTTTCAAATAATTGCATCTCTCTCCTTGTCTCTAACTTTTCAAATAATATCCTCAAGGATGATCACTATATTTCTAGGATATTTTTTTTTCCTAATGTTAGTTAGATTCTCTCCGGAAAAGAACTTTCTTATCACTAAGATTTGAAAATAACAGGTAGAGCATGAGTGTCTATTTCAAGAACACGAGAAAGGAGTGGCTAGAGTAGCCAAACTTGGAGACTATTAAAAGAGACTTTATAATACATCACTGTTTGGAGAAGAAATTGATAAACATCAATCTTCATCTTTTATTCTTTGAATAACCCGATAACCTTTCTTGTTTTCAGATGTGACTACAAGCAAAATCAAACTGAATTCACCTTCTTTTCGGATTGGTGAATAACATCTAGCTAACACCCAATCCCATTAACTTGACTATGTACAATATATGATCACTAAGAAAACTTCAATTTGTAAGCCAATTTCCTAGCATGCTCCTGTCTCGTCCTTGGTCAAATATCAATAATGCAACTATCAAAAATTGGAATCTAGAAAACGTACTCACTGGAGGGATAGACCTAAATTGGATGCCTCCAAATGCAAGGTTCACCTTGTTATTGTCTTTTTACTTTGTTCTTGAAGGATGGTAGTCTTAAGCCAGGACCTTAGGTCGGAAAAGCAGAACCAGCTGAGCACCCTAAGTTTGTTGAGAGATCTCATCTGTATTACTTTCCACACAACCACTTTTCGAGTTAGCTGGAAATGCACTCTCCATATCATCCTCCTCAAACAGTTGTTCTCCATTTTCTAGAGCATGAGATGGATGGCTCTCACCATCATCAGATGACTGATCAGCTGCAGCCAAACTGTAAATTATATCCCTTGGATCCTGTGCTGTATCAGTTGACAGCATGGCACAATCATCGGAAGACTGATCATCTGCAGCCAAACTGTAACTTCTATCCCTTAGATCCTGTATTATGTCAGTTGACAGCGTGGCACCATCATCGGAAGACTGATCAGCTGCAGCCAAACTGTAGCTTCTATCCCTTAGATCCTGTGTTGTGTCAGTTAACAGGGTGGCACCATCATCAGATGACTGATCAGCTCCAGACAAACTGTAACTTCTATCCTTTAGATCCTGTGTTGTGTCAGTTGACAGCATGACGCCATCATCGGATGACTGATCAGCCGCAGCCAAACTGTAACTTCTATCCCTTAGATCCTGTGTTGTGTCAGTTAACAGCGTGGTGCCATCATCAGATGACTGATCAGCTGCAGCCAAACTGTAACTTCTATCCTTTAGATCCTGTGTTGTGTCAGTAGACAGCGTGGGTACCCCATTCTGGACAAAGTCTGCAGCTCTTACCTAATAAAGATGTTCTCAAACTTTGTTAATAGCCACATTTGTCCAGCTTAAGTATATGAGAATAATCAGCAAAAGCACAAAGAAGTTATAGCAGCTCAGAGAGTAGTAAGCATAATCAGTAGAACAAATAAGCTTATGTTCCAACTCCTTTAACTGTGAAGCCAGCAGAAGCCTTTTACTTAAACAAACTCTCGTGTTTCTGTGCCATTTAGCATGACCAAATGTGGATGCTTGGGAAAAAAGACAAATTAGAACCTGTTTTGGACATTGACTAATTCATCCTTTTACTAATATGGTATAGGTTTAGAAACAATTAAAAGATATACACTGCAGGTGACATTTAGAATAGAAAAAAGTTCTGCAAATATTTACTCCTGAAATGGTGGTAAAGTTAAAGTTAAAGTAGGGTGGACGTACTGAGGGGTTAAAAGACTCATCTTTAGAAACCACAAGTTTAGAGTGCCTTCTATATTGAGCAAAAATCAAATTTTGAGCCTTAAACCTACTGGGACAGATATCTGTAATCAATTAATCAGCCATCTTTCACATTTGCAATTTCAGAAAGAATAAAAGATGAAAAGGGAAGAGCTGAAGTTAGCGACCCCTTTTCAGTGAAAGTTCAACCAATACATTTGCTCTCTCAATTTGTGTTTAACTAACATTTTGGGAATAGTTCCTTTGAAATTAAGACCTGAATTTGTTTGGATTAGACTGTATTTAAAGAAAAACCAATTAGAAAACTAAATTTGAGCTGGTTTTCCAAAAAGTGGTATAATATCCTAAACCAAACAAGATAATAAAATGTTACTTTATTTATTTATAGAGAGAGAACTTTGGCAAAAAAATTCTAGTATTTTTCTTTCCTTTACTCTTTGGTATGTCGTTCTTAAAATTGCATTAACATTATAGTTCTAATGCTTTCGGGAAACAACTTGTAGTTTAGTTCAATTTTCTCATAGGGGCAAACCATCACAGTGCAGCTAGGTTAGACAGATTCTTATATTCAATGGAATGTGATGAAAGATTTCTCCAACTGGATTGAGGAGATGGAATTACATGGCCCTCAATTAAATGGTGCGAATTTTACATGGTTCAGAGGGGCAAACCATTACAGTGCAGCTAGGTTAGACAGATTCTTATATTCAATGGAATGGGAAGAAACCTTCAAAAATATAAGGCAAACGATAATATGCCTACAGTGACATCTGATCATAGTCCTATTATGCTACAATGTGAGGACTGGGGTCAGAACAAGTCCTACTTCATGTTCGAGAATTGGTGACTCAAAGTTGATGGTTTCGAGGGGCTAGTTCATAGTTGGTGGCAGTGTTTAGGGGAGCGCGAAGCGGTAAAAAGCGACAAGGCCCCGCTTCATGCTTTAAGCAAAGCGCTCGCTTCATTGAAGTGAAGCACAATTTAAAAGAAAAAAGACCAAAATAAATAGACAAAATATATAAGCAAAAATTCATATTAAAATACTAGAAAAAGGTTCCCCTTTAGTTGTCTTATAACAAAACAGGCATACAATTGTTGTCCTATTGGTCTCACTAACTTTTTTCCCATATTTTCATGTTGGGCCAGCCATTTTTAATCGCGGATAAGATTTAAGAAAACCAATCAACATTATATTTTTATCACTATTAAGAAAAAATTCAACAACATTTTAGTCATTGTTAAGAAACAAAACAAATTAGCGATGTATATTTTAATCACTGTGAGGAAAAAAAATTAAGCAACATATAATTTAAATAATCAAAGCTAAACAGGGCAAAGGAAAACAGAATAACGAACAAAGTGGAAAAAATAAAAAAGAAATATCCTAGGCTAGTTGTAGTAGTAGTAGTAGTAAGAAGAAGAAGAGGAAGAACTAGGTAAGTCATGCCTATTTTTATTCTTTAAAATCGATCACTTATTACTTAGAAAAAATAAAAGCGTTGCTTTTCTCGCTTCACCACTTCTGGTCGCATCGCGCTTCAAGCCCAGAAGCGATCGCTTCTTTTCACATGCCTTGCTTCAGCCAACTGAAGCGCTGAACCCTCGCTTTGCTTCGCTTCACCGCTTAAAGCGATGAAGCGCTTGCTTTCCTGAACACTGGTTGGTGGAGTGAGTTTGTAGTGGAAGGTTGCCATGACTACAAGCTCAGTATGAAACTGAAGTTGCTGAATCATAAACTCAAATAATGGAGTACACAAGTGGGTGGGGATCTAGGCACTAAGAAAAACAAGTTCTTATCTAAATTAGCAGATATTGATCTGGCACAAGATTCAAGACATCTGACAAAGGATGAGCTGATGGTGAGGGCTACAATTTTGGTAGAGTTGGAAGAAATGGCAAAAATTGAGGAGTCTAGGTGGAGACAAAAATCTAGGATTTTATGGTTGAAACAGGGAGACAACAATACTAGGTTTTTCCAGAGGATGGCTACTGCTCATAAAAGATATAATAATATAGACATACTAATAATTAGAGGAGAGGAGGTCAAAGAGCCGGAAGTCATTAAGGTGAATATGATTGAGTTGTATAAAAAAAATCTATACTGAAATAGAGTTATGGAGGCCCTCTTTTGAGTGTGTGAACTGTCCTAGAATCTCCCAAGAGGAACAAGAGTGGTTGCAAAGGCCTTTTAGTGAAGATGAAGTGTTAAATATAATCAAACACTGTGATGGAGACAAGGCACCTGGGCCTGATAGATTCACCATGAGTTTCTTCAAAGTTTGCTGGGAGACTTTGAAGGAGGACTTGATGCAGACAATTCATAACTTCCACTAGAAGGAAACTTTTGAGAAATCATTCAATGCCACTTTCGTAGCTTTAATTCCGAAATAGCATGGAGCAAAAGAGTTGAAGGATTTCAGATCAATAATCTGATTGGTAGAGTATACAAAATCACAACCAAGCTTCTCACAGAAAGAATGAAGAAGGTCATGGGGGTTTTGGTGGATTTTCTGAAGGGACAGCAGATAATGGATGCATCAATGCTAGCAAATGAACTAGTGGACTGCAGGGTGAAGCAGAATCTACCAGGAGTCTTATGCAAGCTGGACATTGAGAAGGCTTATGACCATGTAAATTGGTCCTTCCTCTTGAAGATTCCAAGAGATATGGGCTTTGGAAACAAATGGATCAACTGGATTAAGGTTTGTATATCTACTGTGAAGTTTTCCCTTATCATTAATGGCAATCCTGAAGGGCTTTTTCAGTCACTAAGAGGTTTGAGACAAGGTGACCCCATGTCACCATTCCTATTTATCTTAGCTATGGAGGGTCTCAACTCCATGATCCGGAAAGCAAGTGAGAATGGGTGGTTGCAAGGGTTCTGTGCAAATGCAAATAGGGGAGATACTATGGAGATCTCACACCTGCTATATGCAGATGACTCCTTGGTTTTCAGTGGAGCTGAAGTTAATCAAATAAGACACTTGAGGGCCATCTTAACCATCTTTGAAGGAATATTAGGACTTCATGTCAATTGGCATAAAAGTTGTTTATACCCGGTTAACCAGATTGCAAATATGCAGGTGCTTGCTGAGAACCTACGATGTTAGGTGGCCTCACTCCAAACGAAAGACCTTGGAATGCCTCTTGGTGCTAAGAACAAAGAGGTGGAAGTTTGGAATGAAGTACAGGAAAGATGTGAGACGAAGATGTCAAGATGGAAAAGGCAATATCTATCCTTCGGAGGCAGAATAACTCTTATCAACTTAGTGATGGATGAATTTCCTACTTATATGATAAGCTTATTCCCAATACCAAGAAGTATAGAGAAGAAAATCAACAAAATCAAGAAGAGTCCTCCTGTGGCAGGGAAATAAAGAGAAGCTTGGGTATAATCTTGTTAAATGGGATGAAGTGACACTCAACAAAATGCAGGGTGGTTTAGGTATAAAGAAGTTGAGTATGCAGAATGTCAGATTGTTGAAGAAATGGCTATGGAGGTTCTGTAGTGAAGATCTGGCTTTGTGGAGGAGATTCATATCACAAAAAATATGGTCTCCAAAACAATTGGATCACTGAAGAAGCAAATATTACCTTTGGATGCTTTGTCTGGAAGACGATCAGAAGACTGTGGCCATCCTTTATCCCCAATCTATCCTTTAGGATTGGTAATGGGGTGAAAACCAGTTTCTTGAATGAACTCTGGTTAGGTTGAAGAGAATTTGAAGATCATGTTCACAGATCTTTATATATTGAGCCTACAACAGATGGACACTGTGGCATAGGTGTGGAGCCCTCAAGGTTGGGAATTGATCTTTAAGAGGGCTTTAAATGACTGGGAAGTTGATAGAGTAGCAGGATTACTACAGACACTAAATGCATTTCCAGGTGTCACTGAAGGTCATGATACTCCAATCTTTTAAATGCACAAGAAAGGGCTTTTTTCTGTGAAGTCTTATTACTGGAGCTTAAATTCTAATCATACTATGGAAATGGAATGGCCTTGGAAACTAATTTGGAAAATCAGGATTCCTCACAAGGTCTCAGATTTCACTTGGTTGGCAATTAGGAAAGCATGTCTAACTCATGAAGTGTTACAAAGAAGAGGTATACAGATTTGCTCAAGGTGTTACATGTGTGCGGAAGAGGCAGAAGTTAACAGTCACTTATTCTTACACTGCAGAACAACTGTAAATCTGTGGGACATGTTCTTATGTATACTTGGAGTTAGCTGGGTAATGCCCAAGACTACTTTAGACTTGCTGAGACAGTGGGAAGGAGTGGGCAGAAGAAGAAGATCCAAAGAGAACTGGTGGAAATGCATCCTAACCTGCATTTGGTGGACACTGTGGAAGGAAAGAAATGAAAGATCACATGATGGGAAACTTAACAGCATTCAGAACATCAAGATGAATAGCTTGAGCCTGTTGTATTTTTGGTGTAAACGGGATTTGGTTGGGGAGGTAGATAGTTTAGTGGATTTTCTAGCTCAATTGTAAAGTTTTTGCCCAGTTTTTGGTTTTTAAAATTACCCCCTGGGGGCTGTAAATCCCACCTCATCAGGCCTGGCTGATGAGTTTTCATGTGAATATAAAGTTACCTATATCAACAAAAGGATTTTTTAAGAATCCTCATTAAGAATCAAGTTTGTATTTTGAAGTTGACTTATAAGGGCACAATTCTTATATGCTTATAATTTTACGTGACTTATACTTGGTGTGTTTGGTATGAAGGAAAATATTTTCCATGGATAATGTTTTGTTGGAAAATAAGTAAAGTTCTCATTTTCTAGTTTTTGGTAAGTAAGCAAAAAATATTATCTTACGACCATTTATATGTAATCTTGCAAAACCTATGTGGGCGGGATGGGGTACGGACTCGAGGTTCGGGTGGTGGTGGTGGGTGGGATGATCAAGGGGTGCGGATTGGGGATGTTCGGAGGGTGGGGAGGAGACAATGAACTTAGAATGTCACTTACGGAACTTGTTTTCCCTACTTTCATTAGAGAAGCCATTTTCCTCATTTTTAAGGAGCTTGCTTTTCTAGATAAAATGTTCCCAAAACATTTTGACCAACCAAACATGAGAAAATTGGAAAACAATTTTTGGAAAATGTTTTCCTTCATACCAAACACACTCTAAAAAGCATCTTTTTTTGTTTTTGAGATTCTACAAAAAGGTTAGTGCAGGGAGATCGCTATATATACTTGTTAAGCAAGAGAATATAAACAGTTCAACTTCACCGTGGGCATTAGTGGAGCTTTATCGCGATAACCTGGGATGTTGGATGCTTGGATACTCAGGAAATACTGCACCTTCAAACTGCTATCAGGCTGAACTGCTGGTTCACTTCCACAGCCTCAAACTAGCCCATCAAAAGAACCTTACCCTTCTCCCCTAAATCTTGAGCACAGGAGGTCATCACTAGCATAATGTCTCAACATATAGCTCACTCATCACTTTTAAACTATTGAAGGTACTTGCACAGATAGCTAACTGATCCCTTTATGGAGCAAGTCTACAGAAAACAAAATTGGGTAGCAGACAAGCTGGCAGAATATGGATGCAAAAAGGTCAACGACAACTCCATCATTGTGTTTGAAGACCCTCCACTTTTTGTCAATGATGCACAGCAGGACAATATCAATAAGAAAGAATATCTTCATCAAGGAATAGCCAACCCCAACCTTTTCCCCCTTGTAACGACTTTTCACAAAGTCGCCCCTCCCATATTCCCTTTTGTACGGACTCGCATATGAGTCCCCCTTTTTGTATCACACAACACTCCATGTACTTTTGGTAGTTTATTTATATAATCATATCGTTTGGACCAAAAAAATGTAGGCCGATACACACAAAGATTTCAGACCATGAAAACCTAGTTCACCTCACCCAAAAGTCAGCTAGTGGTAGACTACCAGTACTGGAAGGAATAGATGCAAACTTAATGTTCCAATACTAGTAAATTCATAATTAATATTTATTCAAGCATGTGGAAATAAAACATATATATGTATTCTTTAACGGTTGGTACCTGCAATGGTTTCATAACTTTAGACACTTGATCATCAGATTTATCAACAACCTCTTGCGCTTGCAGCTCCATAGAATCTCGAATAAGTTGACTTAGAAAAGTTACATCATCAGACATGATACCAAACCCTTTTAGAAGTTTAGAGCCAAGCTGTAAACTTGTCTGCAGGAATATATAGGGCATGATCAGAATTCACATAAAGAAAAAGAGAAGAATTGCCATGGTTTTACCTCTGCACTTTCAAGAATGGCATCTGTTGCTCCTACTTTCTTCAGATCTAATAGATGCATCACATCCTGAGCTCGTGCATATATTGGTACCTGTAATTGATATTCAGTCGAGAAATAGCAAAAGGTCAGAATTGATAGACCCTGAACCTGACAATATGATGAGTCATAAGAATCCAGATGTATTTAATGTATCCAACACCAGCTATACACAAGAATAGTTACAGCTTTGTACTTTTCTGCTATGTAAACTTTTTTTATCCATTTTGAATTGGATTATCCTCACTTCAATTTGTAAAATTGAACCTTTCCTCTAAATTTTCCATTGCAGCCCGATATGCACGAGGAAGGAGGGCGGAAGTACCGCTGGGAAGGCTAGTCGAATTCTCTGGACAGCTTCTGTGGTCCTTTCTTTTCCTCTGTACATGACCATGACTGCTTTCGGAGAAGATATTCCAGCAGACTGCAGCACTGCAGGACGTGAACCATCACCATAGATAACAGGAAAACCGAGTTTTGTAGAAGCCTGTTGCAGTGACATGGGCAAAATATCACTAACCAGTTCACAAGAACACGCTATGTTGTAATAGCACACAACTTAATATATGAAATGTAGTAACCTTTACAACAGAAGGATCTAGATCAAAAGCAACGTATTGCAACTCCTCCCCATCACTCGAAGCTAGTGGCGTTGATAATAAATTGGCAAGGACCTGTATGAAGATGGAAAAACAAATCATCAGAAAGATAAAGCAGGGCTTCTTCCTAAGCAACAGGGATCCCACAATTGCATTACCTGACCCATTTGGCCAAATCCAAGGATGACTACTGGTTCACTCAGATCAAAGTTTTCCATTTCAGCAGTTCTCTGAGATGATCATGAATTACATTAGTAGTTATAAGAACAATTAACTTCTGATTCATGTTGGTCAGAGACTCCGAGAGTTCGAGGACCTGAGATAAAAACTCTGCTCTATTTCAAATCACCTTAAGAGAAAGAGACAACAAAGCATCTTTTTATCCTTAACAGATGAGGCAATCAAATATTATACTAGGCTATATGTGACACAGGAATACGAAGTTTCGTCCTACATGTTTACTGAAACTAAAATACAGCTTATTCGCTGCTACGGTAATCTCAATGTGCATATGTTAAATTTCATGATTCAGAGAGATGAAGCAATGAGAGAAAATTCAAAGAGAGAGAGAGATTGCTCATGGATAAATCAATTTCATTACATTCCCTCATATCCCAGGGACTGGTAAAAGACTTACATCCTCATTGTCAAACTTCTCGCCAACAAACTCAGAAGCTCTTCGTCCAATTTCATTGAGTAATGGAGTCAGTGCCATAGAAAGTACAACAACAATGATAAGCAGTTTATTCAGCTCGAGGGGAAGCACTCCTAGCCTACAGTAAAATGGTTGTGTTTATCAGTTGAAGAAAATTATTCTATTTCACAGAACTTCAGATGAAACTCACCTATTTGCTAAAGAAAAGACAACAAATCCAAATTCTCCTCCTTGAGAAAGAAGAAATCCAATTCTCACACTCTCCTGAAGGGATAGTCCGACTCGGGGACCTATTGCCGTTATGATCAATGTCTTGATAACAATCAGACCAGCCAAGAGAGAAAGCACATTTGGCCACTCCCGGAAAAGAAGCTGGCATGAGGTTAAAAATTATGTGCAATTAGAGGAAGGGTTAAAGAAAGAGTGCATACTATAGTACATAATGAAGGTCATGCTTATGAGAAAATACCTGCATATCAATAGAAGTTCCGGTAGTCACAAAAAATAAGCCAAGTAGTAATCCTCTGAATGGCCTTATATCAGCTTCAATCTGAGTACGGAAATTTGTTTCTGCAAGCAGTGCCCCAGCTAAAAATGCTCCAAGCTGCACCATGGGATAAATATCAAATGATGAACTCAACTGCTATCTGGGTCAATTGGTATTACTTTTTTCAAAAGGGTATCTGACCGTGTCACTAAAGCCCAACTTCTGCGTTAATAGTGATGTTCCTGCAACAGTCAAAAGACAAAGTGCAACAAAAGCTTCCGAACTTCTCGTTTCTGCAACAACCTATGACCGATAAAAATGATCTATTGTTTCAGCTGTAAAAATACAAGTGTATTTATTCACTATGCCTATATTCTCCCCTGATTTACATGTTATTCTTGGCCAAAGAACAAGGATGAGCACCTCAAAAACTCGCCTCCATATGTATTTCCCTCCAAAAGAAAGCAACCCCAGTCCACCTAAAGCCTTCAGACTTTCTTTTGCAAGCATTGGCCAAATACTTTCTTCTATCAGATTCTGCAGAGATTTGAAGATTTTAATTCTCATAACAGTCATAAACCTATACAGCAGCAAGGATAGAGACAACAAATGGCATGTCCGTCAGCTTGATCCCACATCTGTGTAAAATATAAGGGAAGTTACCTTATATACCCCATCCGAGGAAATTTTGACCAAGTTGGGAACTAATTTATCTAATAGAGACTCATTGATAACTCTTGCAATTTAACATATCATCCATGACGAGATATTTTTACCTCTCATACATAAAGGGAAAAAACTTATCTAAGTAGTTACCATAATGATGCTTAGAGACAAATTTTAAGCATTATATTTTCCAACCAACTGCATTGAAGAAAATTTATAGACATTCGAAGTTTCCAAGATCCACGTACCTGGGTCTCCAGCACCGGTAGAATGACTAAAAGAGGCACAACAGCAATGTCCTGCATATATCAAGAACCACAGAACAAATGAGGAAAGATTAATGGGTAACATGTTCCCTGCCTACTCACACCATTGTCCTTGGATAGACTACAGAAAGGGGAATAAGATGCTTTCACCATTCGAAATGTAAGTGAGGTACCTAAGAGGATCTAAATGTCAAACTTGTAGATCTATTAGAACTATCAAAAGTTCTTGCTCCCTGTTTACTAGGTCTTCTTCCTTATAGGGAGGATGTTGAATATATTGTGACATCCAAGGCAGATTCATAATCATCAGTGTGGAACAATGAGTTCGGAGGAGTAGTATTATCATCCCCGAACTCTCACACAATGTGGGCTGGGTTGATGTTGCAAAAGAGATTATTTCACATAAAAGGCCAGACAACTACATGGTAACCAACCAGGGAGTTATTCAGAGACGGTCAAGCCAAAGGGGTTGTCGGAAGAAGACCTGGGGTGAAAAGCACTCACTAAATTATTTGTGGACTCCAACACTACTAAACAGAGGTCAGAATCTCTTCAAAACTGTTGGGTAGGCAACTTTGTAGATCTTAGGAGAGAAATCCCAACATGCTCAGATGTAACAACATAGGTACAGAAAATTTGGGAAGTATCTGGGGGGTCAGTGTATTTGAAATGAATGATTTCAAGTTCATATCCAAATTCCCATCAAAGGAGAAAGCACAAAGAGTCAGGATGGATAAATGGTGCTGGAAAATTTTGGCATTGAACCTTCAATGGTGGTTATTGAAGACAGGCTGTTTTTCGAAAAAACATTTGGACAGGAATTGGTATGGATCAGATTACTAGGGATACCTTTATAATTGTGGTCTCAGGTCTAATAAGATGTTTAAAGTGATTGAGAAGAAGTACAGTGGGTGGTTAGAAACTGAGGATGAAACACCTTTGAGAAATCAACTCTGATGGACTAGATTGAGAGTCGAAGGGCCACCAGATTTTATGCGGTCATTGATAGAAGTGGAATTAGAGGATCTTCAAGATACCTATATGGTTAGAAAGAACAGCAATAGATTGCAGGAAAATGGCCGGAAGGAATTGCAGTGCCGCCAACAATGTGACTTTCAGGTGGTATGATTTAAGTCTAAGGTCCTCTAGAGAAGATGAAACACCATTGGGTAATGGGGTCCTTTGGTGGGACAGACTGATAACTTGCAGTTAGAGGAGAACTTGGGGAATGGGGAAAACCCTATGGCTAAAGGAAGAATTACTGGGTTCAAAATCTAAATCTGATATGACCCCACCTTTGAAGACATATTTTTTTTAAGAAAGTAACATTGTATTCACAAAAAAATCATCATCAAAAGGATGATGAGGTGGAACACTTACAACCCACAGTGGGTGGGAAACATCCTTCACAAAAACTAAAAAGCTTTACAATTTGCCTATGAAATCAACTAGAGTTGCTACCTCCCCCACCCTATTCTGTTTACACCAAAACAAATAACAGGCTTAGGCATTTCATTTTGATATTCTATGAGTTGCAGCTTTTGCATTCAAAGCATCTGATATTTCTTTCCTTCCATAAAGTCCACCAAATACAAATTGGAATGTTCATCCACCAATCTTCGCTCTGCCTCTTCTTTCTATTCCTTTCCAACTGTTGAGTGGATCCAGGGTGGTTTTAGGCATTACCCAGCTTACTCCCAGAATACATAAGAACATGTTCCACATATTTGCAGTTGTTTTGCACTGTAGAAAGAAAAAAACTATTTACCTCTGATTCCTGGTCACACATAAAACACCTTGAGCAAATTTGTAAACCTCTTCTTTGTAACACCTCATGAGCTGTGATGAACCTTCTCCACAGAGCCATAACTTCTATGCAAAATCTCCATAACCATTTTTGTAGTAGGCATGCATTCTGTTTGCTGAGATTCTTCAAACCTAGGCCCCCTTGTTTTTTGTCGAGTGTTAGGATATCCCACCTCACCAGGTTGTACCCTATCTTCTCCTTGTTTCCTTGCCAGATAAAAGATCTTCTCAGTTAATTGATTTTCTTTTCAATGCTTTTGAGGTATTGGAAATAGACTCATCATATAAGTGGGAAGGCCATCCAACACAGATTTAATGAATGCCAGACTTCCAACTCTTTGTTCTTAGCTCCCAGGGGTATGCCAAGGTATTTTGTAGGTAGGGAAGCAACTTGGCAACCAAAAGTCTCAGCTAAGGATTGCATATTGTCAACTTGATTGACAGGATAGAGGGAACTCTTACTCTAGTTAACATGTAATCCAGAAATGACTTCGAAAATGGTGAGAATTACCCTTCGGTGACTGATCTGAATCTCCTCTGCTTCACGAAGAACTAATGAGTCATCTACATACAGGAGGTGTGGAACCTCCAAAGCATCTCCCCTGACTATTTGGGCACTAAAACCCTTCAATCATCCTTTTCCATTTGCAATCCTGATCATGTGATTGAAGCCTTCCATTGCTAGTAAAAATAGAAAGGGAGATATAGGGTACCCTTGCCTCATCCCCTCTGGAACATAAAAAAAAACTTCAGTGCTCCCATTTATGATGAGTGACAATTTCACATTGGATATGCAAAATCCGTTCTATTTGTTGCCAAACCCCATATTGTTTCGAATTTTAAGAAGGAAATTCCAATTGACAAGATCATAGGCCTTCTCGATTTCAAGCTTATACAGAATTTGGGGCATCTTTTGTTTCACCCTAGAGTCTAGCAGCTCATTGGGCAACCGTAGGGCTCCACCACTGGAACCTGATATGCATTTGTTTCCAAAGCCAATCACCATTCATCACTTGTTCTGCCGTTGCTTTCGAAGAAAACTCAAATAGGAAAATTTTACTTCCCATTTCATAAATGTTCATCCCAAAGATTTGCTTCCACATGCTAGAGGACCATATTATAATCTCTAAGAGGGTTGGTGTATCCACATCCTTGAAGTTGCCAATCAAACTTCTATTAAGAACTTCATTTTGTTTATTGGGTCCGTCATTAACGTAAACTACTCCCCCCTTCAAGGAGCAAGGAGGTTTGCGCATTAAGAGATAAGGATACAAAACAGAAGCCTTTAGTGGCTTTGGAGATTCCGTGTGGAAGCTGGCCCCTTGTAGAGGGAGTAATAGCAGAGAAATTTCGTTCTTTAAAAGTATGATGCACTAAAAGAGGTGCCCCTTCACAAAGAATTAGTTTCTGGAGAAATATATGCTCCTTATGGCATGTTTTCTCACAGCATATTGACTTCACGATAGGCAATGAAAGGAAATTTTCTTTTTGGTAAAATAAATGGTTGGGTCATCTACCCAGCAGAGAAGTTTTCCCTGTAATATATAGATTGGTACTTGACAAAGAATTCACAGTAGCACGATGTTGGGAAGGCATAAGTTGGAATATAAAATTCAGAAGAGACATAAAAACAACTTGGAGCTGAATGAGGTTGCTGAATTCTTCAGTATATTATGTTTGTAAGCCTAAGCACTAATGAAGATTATTTGATAGGGAGAAGCCACAACAAAGGGATTTATACTGTCAAGACATGTTATAACACATTCATGAAAGAAGTGAATCAGCCTTCTTATTGGTCTAGATGCAAATCTGGAAGTCAAAAGCTCCTATAAAAGTTAAATATTTTGAATGGTTGGCGTCTAAAAAACCTGTTTGACTCTGGATAATTTACAGAGAAGGGGATCCCAAATAGTTAACAGGTGTCATATGTGTAAAGAAGAGGCAAAAATTATCAAACATCTATACCTGCATTGCAAAGCTGCTGCACGCTTGTAGCAAAATTTCTTGAACATTTTGGGAATTAAACAAGTGATGCCAAACTCTACCACTGAGTTACTGTCATGCTGGAATAGGAAGGGACTATCAAAGCAAATGAAGAAGGCCTGGAATACAAAAAAGGTGGTGCATATGGAAAAAGAGCAGTAGGAGTCTAGCAGATGCTTTGAAGGACAAGAGAATTCATTCTTGAAGATCAAATTAGGTTGCATTTGTTGATATCTTTTTGGTGTAAACAGGCTAGGACAAGTGAGAGTGAAATCCTGCTACGATTCTTGGAATCTTTTGGTCAGACTCACAGGGTTTTCTTTTTTTTTTTTGTTATTTTCTGGGTAACCGCAGAACTCTTGTAGTGCTGGTTTTTTTATATCGATAATACCATACCATTTCAAAAAGAACATGTATAATCATAAATGTAAAATGCAAATATAACCTGAAGAAGAAGTATTCCCAATGTAGCCGAGCCAAATCTAGTTGGAAGCTCACCCTTCTCTGCAAGAATCTAAAAGTATGCCAAACTGAGCACAGAACCCATAGATCCATTCACACTCAATAATTTCAAGTTCTTCTACACAGGGTAAACCCCCCACATTAATTCAGCAATTTTCATGATAGGAAACTATACTCAATAAAGCTAAAGAGATAAGAGAAAAATAAGAAAACTAGAGATAAGAACGAGAATACACAGGCAAAAATACATGAAACTTCTCTACAAACAGTTTCAGTATCAATAAGAAAATACATTTTTTAGGTATATCTTTCATATAAAGCTACAAAAATATTAAAATTGAACAGCTCTGGATTACAGTGAATTTTTTTTGATACTAAGGAAAAAGTTCTAATGACAAATACTAAGAAGGTACTGCAATGGTACAAGACAGGTTCTTCTCATCATATCATCATATCATACTATATTATAAGTGAGAAACCCTCAAGTTAAAAGTTAGATTATGAAACTAACCTTATAAAGTCAAGTGCTATAATATCCTTCAACTTGATATTACTTCAAATATGTATATATATATATATATATTCAATTAGAAGCAGACAAACGTAACACCCTTTCCTTCACCATTAAATATTGGCATCCTATTAAAGGTAAATAATAACTCCCAAATCCCAATAATGTCGTTAATTGTAAAGATTTTTTTTAATCACAAGTTCCATGTAAGTGTTTTCATCTCATAACTTTAAGTTTTGCTCATTTATCTTCTACTCCTACTGCCTTCTGATATTTTTTCCCTCACTTTATAACTTGCACAAATTTAGATAATTTCATTAGCCATTAGTTGCATTTTTTTCTCTATTGAAAAATCACTGGTTGATGTAGCTGCTTATTAACAGCATTTATTTCTGCCAAACTATGTATTGTTCTGTGTGAGGATTGTTCAGGTATTGTCCAAATTTTACCCAGTTTGACATTAAAATTGGTTGGATCAAGTAACATAAATGGTGCACCATTACCATTGCAAGTTTCCAACAGATTTGTACCAGATATATAAATTTAAATACCTGCTTATGAGGAAGTCTTTGATCAAATTAGATGAACAAATATATAGTCCAATTTTGATGGTTTACGGAGTAATGAAGTAGTTTGGGAATTCACAGCATTAACCCTCATTTATGTTCTTCTATTATTTTTTTGCATGTTTTTACTTATATAAGCTTGGTCACTTTGTAATATCAATTAAAGAGCATTCTATAAGCTCTAAAATTGGTACTTGCTTTTTTAATTTTCACAAGTTTATATTTTTTATATGATGCAAGGAATTTTATGAGTCTGAACACTAAATATATTTTTTACCAGACAAATATTTCACCAAGAAGCAGCACCATCTTTGGTTCGTATGTTAAATGAGAAATGGGATACTGCTAATTTTATTTGCAAGCACCCATATTCTTGAGATCAAAATTCCAAGTAATCCTCACCAAAGCATATGTAGAATTCCATTTGTTGAGGTAAAACAACTTTGTAAGTTCAATAATTCCTTTTTTTGCAATCTTGTAATTACAAGTGCAAACGGTATTTTGGATTAAAAAGAGGGAGGGATAGGGTGGAGTGAGAGAAGGGAACACATTTGTCTATCGAATTAAGTGGAGTACTCCATTAAAATATTCATTGTATAGCATATGACTCTACCTATCATCAAATTCTAAGCATATATTTTTGTTCCTGGATCGGTATATCTTTATCTAACCTATTTTGCTTTCTAATTTTGTATTTGAAGATGTAATATATGCTCTAAAGGTTGATGGGCTCCATTACAATGTTGATACAAATAGTGTGCTCACATAATATATTCTGAGAATTGATTAACATTGAAGGAGGAAGTATCTAATGATTCAAGAGGAATAAAATGAAATTAAGATTAATAAATCTTGACTCCCTTGTAACACCTCGCAACTCTACTCTTAGAATATGAATTGTTTGTCGTAAGTATATGAGCTTGAACCAGGTGATGTCCTACTTGCTCATGTGTTTTAAGGTTCTTTACCAAGTGTAGGAAGTGGTTTGGGGTCATAAGAGACCTCTAGCACTAAGTCGAGTTCAAAGCCTTCCTACTGGCTAAGTTTTTCGCATTAGTTCATGCAAGGGTCAACTTCAAACGACCATATCTTTCAGCATACAAAGATTAGGTATTCCATAACTTATCAAATTAAAGGTCTATGAGTCTTATTTCCAATGCCAACAAGTTTGCATCAACCGAAGTTCGGAGTAAAAAGTTATGATCATTTTAGTTTTGTTAGACATTTTGTTTTGGACATGCATTTCACTGGCGTTGGACAATGTTGGATAGGTGTTTCACCAGTTGAAACACTGGTTGGACGACGGGAAATCACTTAAGTCGGTTTTAGTCTGATCTTTCTCACTTTTGACCATTCTTTCAAACCCTAGAAGTGTTTTCTCTCCTCCTCTCATCCTTTTCCATCAAGGTAAGTCCTTTTTCATAGAATTCAAGCTTTCTAACTCAAATTCCTCCGTCTATTCATAAATCATTGATAGAAATCTTAATTCTTGGCAATAGGGTTTTCAAGGAAGAGAATTCAAGAACCTCAAGAAAAGGTTTCTTGATCATTCTTCAAGTTAGGGTTCTTCATCAAGATTTGTAGAACGTTGAAGGTATGTAAGGTTATCATAGTGAGGGATTAAGTTCTTCCTCACGCCCTACATCTACAGTTTCAATTAGTAAGATCAAAGCTAGGGTTTTTACCCCATGATTCATAATTTTCGAATTTACTATTTATTCCTATTATTGACTTCGTGATTTCATTACTTCACATTATTAATGATCTTTGACTATTGATTCATGCTTAATATACCACATGAACTCTTTATTTTAAGAGTTATTGAAGACCTTGTCATATTGATTTCTTATGAAATGTTTTCATGAGTAAAGTAAATTCCAAATCTTTTAGCAATATTTCAGAAAGGGTTTCAAGAAAGCATGAATTGCTTCAAGTGCATTATTTCCATAAAGAAAAGAATAGTTAGCTTTAAAGAGAGCATATCTTAGTTTTGAGAAAGTGAAGTCAGTTTTCATATAGCATAGGTTTTTAAAGCAAGTTGAGTATAGTTATAAAGAAGCATTTTAGAGTATTAACCCAACACAGAGAGTATTAACTAAAGTGGGACATTTTTCCCTAAATGGGACATCATACCGCTATTGAGCATTATTGCATTATTTTGGGGGTAGTATTGAGCACCGAGTTTGGTAAGGGTTCAGATAATCCAAACCTCATAACTGCGCAACTAGCGTAGGATAGGATCGTGTTGTTGATGGTAAGGGCTTAGATATGGGATCCATTAGTAAGTTCATCCTATACCCCGGCAAAGTATTGGATGACTCTAGCAACGTGTGCAAGACGTTGTATCATCACAATGCTCATAGTTATAGTTGTGCATTAGAGAAACTCCCCAAGAAAAGTAAAGTATACTATTTTAGCATTTGATAATATTGCATATATCTAAGTTGTAAAGCTTTATTGTTTTCAATACATTTGCATGTGTTACTTTACAGTTATCTATGTTACAGTCTTTTCTAAGTTACTCTTTCAGTTAAGTATATTCAACCTAATCATTGTTTCATTCAGCCATTTTGCATACCGTACATTTCATGTACTGACGCCATTTGGCGTTGCATCTTTTAATGTTGCAAATATAGATTTTCAAGATTGATAACATGCGCTTCGTTGAGATCCTCTCCATCAATTTTTTGTGAGACCTCCTTGCCTTTCGGAGGGCTCCAATTCAATTATTTACTTCTTTATCGTTAGACATTGTAGTTAAAGATGCAGATACAGTTTTCAGGATCGATAGCAGGCGCTTCGTTGAGATCCCCTGCATCAGCTTTTGGTGAGACCTCCTCGCCTTTCGGAGGGCTCCAATTCAGTTACTTCTTTATTGTTAGACATTTTAGTTATCATTCAGGTAGTCGTGCGTTCTGTCTCGGCACCTATCCTAGTTCAGTAGAGGCTTCATAGACTAGTTAGCGAGTCAGTTAAGTCTTGATCTTTAGATGTTTTAAACATTATTATTATGATGATTCATACTTATATTTCACACTTTCCATAAAGCATGTTCAGAAGTGTGAATGTTTATCACTTTTAAAGCTTCCGCATAAGTGTTTAGTCTTCCGTATAGTAGTAAGCCAGGCCTAGTTTCGCTTGGGACCAATAATGGTTTCTGAGTGTCGGTCATGCCCAAGGTATAGGCTCGGGGAGTGACATCCCTATTCGCAATTAGTAATCTTTTTGATATTTTTGTAAACTATATTTCCTAAATTGAATTTCATGGTTTTCAAACCCTACTTAGATTTGGAATTTTCATTATATATTTCATCATTAATTGGACAACATTGAGTTGTCTACAAATTAAAGCCACTATTTGAAACAAAGACAATTTTTATACATTCAAATGTTGAGAAAACAAACGATCTTAACTATTCAGTAGATCGTAATGCAACATCTTAATATTCAAAGGTGTGTTCATATTATGGGCAATCAGATCCAGATGTCTTAATCTTAATTAAAACAAATGAGGCCTAATATAGCTTGTCACAATTTGATTAAATAGTGTACATTCAGTCGGTCCAGTCGATTTCGGGTTAATTGGGTTTGATTCACTAGATTTTTATCCGTATTTGGGTTCAGTTTGATGTTTTTCCTCTCTTCAACAAAATTCTATTGAATAATTTTTTTAAGAAATAGAAAAAGAAAATCCAGTAAATTTGAAAATGCCGATCAGAAATCATTTAGATGATTTGTCAAAAATAGCTCAAATTTGATATATTTTTCATTTGATAAAATCTATTTACCTTTTAATTTCTTGAGATATTTTCCCATACCAATTGTCAAGTATGATAACAACTTTCTACAAAACAAAAAATCAATTCAATAGAACAATATTTTGAATCCGATTTGCATAATTCAACTCAAACATAATTGTAATAAGGAAGGAAATTGAAATTTATAGAAGGGAAGAACTTATAAATGTTAACTATCTTAAACATAACTCTTCAAGTGAGAAAATAACAAACACAATGATTTATAACTTCAACTAATTGAAATTTTTGACATCATAAATATAGAAATTTTTATTTATCTGATTAAGTAATTATTTTATTAATGTTTCGGAAAGACATGCATGTATACAAGAGGTATACCAAAAATAGAAAAAACTACAAGAAGAGATGGTTTTCTACCAATGAGCTAGAGTTCATAAAATACAATAGAACATTGAGGGGTCGTTACAACACTCGCAATGTAATTGATCCAATTCTTTTGGACAATATTGATGATGCTAATGAATGGCTAACCTGAGTCCCTGAATTTCATGAAGATAAAGCAATTTTTTGTTGATTCTGCTTTCACTTGGGGTGTTGTTGCGGAGACAAATGGAGTTTAGGAGAACCATTGTGGTTTAAGGGGGAATACTTCAAGCTTACATAGGAGGGAAAAAGAAGTAGCTACAAGCCTATCTCTAGTTGATGAAGTTGAAAGTGATGATAAAGTTGAAGAAGACTATGAGCAATAAAATGAAAATGGAGGAATACAAGATTTTGGTAATCTTGTAGAAGTAGAAGAATAAGAACTAGATGTTGATCCATTAATAACTTTGATTTTGTTTGTCCTATGGTCTATGGAGATTTTGTGATATCTACTTTTTAGTTTTTAATTGGAGCTTTTTCTTTTATTTATTGTCTCTATTTATTTTGGTATTTTCTCTTTTAAATTGCGCTTCACTTCAATGAAGCAAGCACTTCGCTTCACACTTTATGCGAAGCAGGGCCTTGTCACTTTTTCTCGCTCCACGCTCTCCAAAATACTGCCATGAACATCATTGTCTACCATGGCTGCATAAGGATGTCAGATGCCATGAACTCTTTGGCATCCCTTATTAATGGAATTTAGGTGCAATTGCAAAGCTGCAACATTCTAGGTTGAACTTTAATAGGGTTATTTTGCATGGATCCCTTGTAATGATGTTTTTTAACAGGGACGTAAGAGGACACATAATTACAAAATCTCCAAAGAGTTCCCCAAGAAATGAATCTTTAACAAAAAGAATACTTTTTCAAAGAAAAGCCTTTAACAGGTAGAAGGCATTTGCTCGTTGCACACTCCTTTTCATCTCAAAAAGTATAAGGCTTTTGCAACATATCAGGCCATTGTAGCTTAATAAGAAATTACCTGCAGAACAAAAGCTGAAGAAGACAGTGAGAGCGCAGCACCAATCACTACAGCCTCATCAACACTTCTAATATTCACCTGCATCCTAAATAAGTTATTGACGAAGGAGCAAAAAGAGGATATTGGAAAGTGTAAACATTGTGTAAGTAAGTGCCTATCGAATATCCATACCAAACTATAAAAAAAGATGAAGAAGCAAAGAATATTATTTCACATCTATAAGGCAAAAGAAAAATAAAATTGCATGCATCCAATAAGTTAGTGATGACGCAGAAAGGGGATAAAGGAGAGTGCCAATGGTGTAAATGTAAACACCTAATCAATATCTATATCTTATAAAATTAGAAGATTTAACCGGACTAGCAACCCAGCATAGCCCTTTACAAAGAATAGCCCTATTCATTTTATATACCCTAGTTAACATTTAGGTTTCATACTTCTATAGCCAGTCCCTCAAAACCCCTAATCTTTTCATACGTCATTCCTCACCTAAGTTGCTCGGACTCTTCACTTTTGGTGCCGCACCTATGTCAACATGACGTGGGTGTGGGTGTGGGATCTGTGTCTGACTTGGTCAACTGATTTTGGGTACTTTGACAAAAATCGATGGGAAATGTCTGGACAGTTTTAATGATCTCTATAATCAATACAAAAACTAAGGTGAAATTGAAGAAAATAGATACCTTGGTCAAGCCCCACACCATGCAAAGCAAAGCCTGGTATTTAAGTGGAGAAGGGTAGAGGGGCGGGCCCATTATCCACCAAGTTTAGAAGGTTGTGATTGGTCCAAAGGGGGGGTCACAGACGAATTTCTCGATTATCAAAAAAAAATAATACAAAAACTAAGGTGAAATTGAAGAAAATGGATACCTTTTATATAGAAATTTCTATGTCACTCCTTTTCCTTTAATCTCTTTCCAAAATTCTCCTCAAGTTCTCCACATAATATCTCATAATTTAGGTTTTATAACTCTACTTTTGGATATTTTAATTATTTTTAGGCGAATCCCCGCACCCGTATCCATACATGGATCCATATCCCCGAATCTTAAAAATTAGATCATTAAGGATCCGACCTCTGGAGCCGCACCCATATCGGACACTTGCACCCGAGTCCGAGCAACTTAGTTCCTCACAAATCATATTAACATTCTTCAACCCTAACACTTCATTATCATGCCGCTTCTAATCCTTCAGCTGCCGCCGTCGAATTCCTTCCTCTTCTTCACCTTCAATCGTAGAGACTCTCAGTAAAATAGGAAAAGGGTTTATGGTAAAATGGGACAGATAGGAACTCTATTCCTTTATTGGAGGTATGCTGTTATCTGAATTACAGGACCCAATCAAGAGTTCGAGGATCCAGTAGCTAATCAGGAACTTACAGAGAAGTTTAAGGGTTTAGCCAAAGTTTGATGGAAGGGAAGAAATGGATTTTGAAGAAGAGATAGTGATAGATAAAATGTAAATGTGTGGATCCATAATCTTCTCAATGAATTGTACAAGTACTTATATAGTTGAATACAAGGGAATAAATTGAATCAAATCTGTTCCTAACTAATTTCCTGAACTGTTACTGTTCAAAACTAACTTTCCTGCTAAAACTTGTTAGCTAATTTGACTAACAACTAACTTCTTTGTTGACTCGTCTGCTGACTCAGCAACCATATAATTCTGATAACAGTACTCCCTCCACCATGAGATCCTTGTCCTCAATCCCTTAACCAGCCCATCAAATAAGTGGAAGATTCATTAAACTGTGAAACGTTACCTTGTCATAATGTGATGTGCTTCTAATGCCAATAAAAAGTAACCCATCCAATAGTATTTAACATCCAAAAAACTGCCAAATAAAACGCGTCCCATGCCGAAATATCACTAGTACCGCCTCATCCTGGGCCATCGCAATGATCAAAAGTAGGAAACCTGGTTAGAAGGACATTGAAATACTCCCAAGTAGCAGCATCAGCTGATAAGTCTTTCCACTTCACCAAGGCTTGTGCTACTGCTTTATTACCCTTCTTAATAATTCATCTTTGTAATATGGCCTCAGGTCCTGGGTAGTGGGGGCTTGCAATATCAATAATAGAAGGATAAGCATGAGAGGAGACATCATAACATCTCTTCAGGAGAGATACAGTGGATTTTCAGAGTGTCTGGAAACAGCAATGTGTAGGCCACAAGACCAACTTTCTCAAAAATCTGACATAGCCAACTGCATGCACAATAGCCAACAATTCTCTATCATCAACAGACATAGCTGCATCTCTTGGTGATAGTGACTTGCTGATAAAGGCAATAGAGTGCCCTTGCCGTATCAACACAGCTCTTATACCAAAACCACTAGCATCTGTTTCCACCAGAAAGATCCAGCTAGCATCAAGCAAAGCCAAAATAGGAGCTCTAGTAAAGGCTTCCTTCAGTTGTTCAAAAGCATCAGTAGCAGTTGGTGACCATTTGAAACTATCTTTCTTCAAAAGATCAGTTAATGGTTTATTGATGATGTCAAACCCCTCTATGAATCTTCTGTAATAACCAACTAATCCAATGAAACCCCTTAATTGCTTGATAGCAGTTGGAACATGCAAATTTTCAACAGCAATTATCTTCTGAGGATCAGTGGATACCCCATCCTTAGTAATGATTAATGAAATGGCCCAAATATTCAATCCTATCCACTCCCAGAAAACATTTGCTCTCCTTGTCTAGTAGTTGATGACTTTTCAGTTCAACAAACACATCACTGAGGTGTAGTAGATGGTCTTCAACAGACTGACAATAGATCAACATGTCATAAAAAAGACTAGGACATATTTCCTCAGACATCTTTGGTAGACAACATTCATCAAACCTTGCAAGCTAGTTGGTGCATTAGACAATCCAAATGGCATCACCAAATACTCAAAATGCCTGCAGTAAGTTCTAAATGTTATTTTTGGTAGATCTTCCTCGTCCATCCTGATTTATCCAGCCCTAAGATCTATTTAGGAAAAAAACACTGAACACCTAGTTCATCCAAAAGATCTTCTACAATGGGTATAGGGAATTTGTTATTAACAATGTGTTTGTTAAGATCTCTATAGTCTACACAAAGCATCCATGAGCCATCATTTTTGTCAACCAACAACACCGGTGTGGCAAATGGAATGCTACTAGGCTGAAAAATGTCCTGATTTAAAATCTGTTGCGCAAGTTCCTCAATAATTTCCTTTTTGACAGAAGGATACCTATAGGGTCTTTGGTTAATAGGTCAATGCCATTCTGTAAAACCATTTTGGGGTCAAAAATCCCCCCTAGATGGTGGTAACCCTGTGGGTTCAGCAAATAGTCCACAAACTCCTCCAATAAACTCACTACTCTAGGATCTTTATCAGTATTGTCTTTAGTCTCTAATGCAAGCAGTTCAGTACACATAGTAGGGATTACTTAAATCATACAACAGGGATTGATTACCTGACATATTCGAGAGCGTGTGCCAGCTCCAACCAATGTACTTTGCTTACCTGCACCTCTTAAGTAAATGTTTCCATCCTTTGTACACTCATAGTGAGTTTGCTGAAATTCATCTTAATATCCCCCAATGTCAGTAACCATTGTACTCCTAAAACCACTCCACAAGACCCCAGTGGCAGTAAAAGAAACTCAGCAGAGAATTCAGCCCCTTGTAATAACCAAGAAATCTTGCAATCATTATCCACCTTCATCATATTTCCATTGCCTGCAACAACCATTTGAGGTATAATGGAGTTAGTAAATTCTTCACCAACTCTGGATCTATGAAGTTATGGGAGCTACCAGTATCAACCAGAATATTCAATGATTTTCCTGAGTGATAACCAGTCATCCTGAGTGTTCTGTAACCCAATGATCAATTCAATGCATGAACAGAAATTTTCATCTGTTCTAACGGCTGGTTCAACTCCACTCCTTGATCATTTTAGTACCCCCTCCTCCTCCTGAACTTGGAACTCCTCCTTATCCTCAAATTCCAAGAGATATAGCTGTTTCAAGTTCCTGCACTTGTGTCCTGGTACATACTTTTCATTACAAAAGTAACATAATATCTTCTCATTCATTTCCTCTAAACTTAGTGTCCTTCTAGTAACTCCCCTACTATTTGCAGACCCCCCAGTGCTAGGAGTTGGCAAGATAGGTTTGTTGCAAAATCTTTGATCCATAGGTCAAGGGCTCTGCCCATAAGCTCTTGCCTGAGCAACTTGATAAGCTTCTTGCATCCTAGTCGACTTATAAACTTGAGACAAGTCATAGGGTTGCTAAATTGAATTAAGGTTTGAATCCTCCCGAAAAATAGCTTATGGCATTTTCTTGAGATAGATTCACCCAGGTCAAATTTCTTTCAAAAACAACTTGGTATTCCTTTACACTACCAGTCTGCCTTACCTTCTTAATCTCCTCCATAGAATCATCATAATCTGCCCCAAATCTCTCCACTAACGCCATCACATACTCAATCCAGGATGGAGGCTGTAGGTATTTTCTGTATCTCACGAATGATAAATGCCACTGAATGGCCTCCCCTCCAAGATGACTGCTGCAATGCCCACCTCTGATCCAAGGGAAACATTTGGTCTACTATAAACAACCAAGCACTCAGATCTTCCCTTGCGAACTTGGGAAAATCAATAGCGAGTCATCCCATGGTTGTAATTGTTAGCATCAACAAGACTCTTCCCCCTTCACCTTCCAGTTGAGCCTCCCTCCATTAGATTTGCAGTTTCCACCCCGATTGGGTTCTCTACCCTCGACCACCTTCGATTTGACCACTTGATCGAATCACTTCAAACTGGACACTTCCCCATAGAGATGTCCAACTTCCGCGACCAGTCTCTGCACCATATCGCATAATTCTCCCATTTCTGTTGGAGAATTCTCACTTCCAGATTCACCATATACCCTAGTACCCTTCGCCATTATTGCCGAGGATTATACAACTCTGATACCAACGACATTCTTTTTATTTTATTTAGGAGAGAGAAAGGGAAAGGACTAGGGACTTATGAACATAATAACATAACAAACAAAACACGGTGAAATGAAGAAGAACAATCAAGAGTAAATGAAGGGAAAGTCTGACAAACTACTTACTCATATCTGATTAACTATTTACCAACTAGGGTATCTTGCTTTTAAGTGGTATACCAACACACTGCATACATTTCTAGCCTTCATAAAAGCCCCTCTATTTGCTATAGGAGTTATTTCAGTACAGTTAGTTCCTAAAGGATGATACTTACCAGATCAGGCCTTGAGTGAAAAAGAAACTCCAAAATCTTTGTCCCGACAGCATCATTAGGTGGAAGCTCGAAAGATGTAAATGCCAAAGTAGATAATACAACCTTCAACATAATAAACAAGAAAACATAAGGCAAACGTTTGAAGCACCACATAGTACCTAGGTACAAATATCCTAAAGGAAATCATCAGATATCAAACTTCAGGTATTCCATTATGCTAGAGCATCAAACAATAGCACATACTTGACTGTGAGAACTAATTACACCTGCAAAAGGTTGTATTTTAATTTTCCTTATTTCTCTGAGACTTCATATCGCCTAGGCACTTGCATCATGTTGTAAGAATTCAAATGCAGAAAAGAAGTACATACATAATTGTAGCTACATAAGAGGCAACTTTTCCTCATCAGTTCCAGTCAATATTGCCTATTGATTACTAACGAATGGCATAAAATAATGTAAGAAATATAAAACTTAAGCAATGAGAAGTGGTCTTATCAGTGCTAATGAAAATGCTTTCTCTTGACCAAGTCAAAGAAGTAAGTGAAAGTATAACAACAAACTCTTTTCCCATGTAGATTTGCTCTTCAACCCCTTGCCCTCAATTTTATAAGACATTTTTTGTGCCCAAAACACAGTTCATCCAGATTTAAGTGTAGCATTTTTCTATGACATGGTGATATTTAATTAAAGAAGTACCAACAAGGTACTGAAAGATTACATCAGAAAAGGGAGCATCATCCTTATATAGGTTGAAGAAGTGCAGAATGTCTATCAAAGAATCAAAATCAGATACAATATTCTTCCGACCCCACAAATAGAGACTTTTTAAACATATAGATTTTACAAGTGAAATGTTACCCCTTCTATCATTAGAACACCTATTATTTCTTTTCAACCAGATAATCCAAAATATGCAAGTAGGAACACCATTCAGAACTGTCTGGTTCTTTAGGTAAGGACTATTTACACCGCCATCACAGAACAAGTTTAAGACTTCCTTGCAATGACCCATTGGCTCCACAAATGTCTAGAAACATTGACCAAATCTTCCTTGTGAAGGTGCAACGAAGCAGCACATGATTAGCTTGTCATTGCTAAGATATTACCTGAAAAAGCATAACCTTCTCCAGAAACCAACTAAATCAAATAAATAGTACAATAACAAGAACTAACAGGTTCCCCCAACTATAACTCAACCCTGTAATGTGTGTCAGCAAAATAGGAGAAGAAACATTTGGTGTATCATGATTGTGAAGTTCTCAACAGAACTTGAATAGAACAGAATGTGTCAAAAAGAAAGAGAAGGGTGAGAAATCTGGACTTTACTAAAAAGGCTGAGAACTCTAGCTTTGAGAAGCTTTTAATTTGAAAAAGTGAAATATTAACAAACAGCATGTCTGTAGCAAGCAGGGCTCTGTCTCCACCTGGTAAGGAGGAGATAGAGCTGCTCTCACTCTATCATGTTAGTGGCAGACGAAGTAACATAAACTCACCTCTCTTGAGACATGCAAAGGATCAAATTTATAACAGAGTTTAGCTTTGACTTTTCATTACTGTATTTCAATAAAACAGTAAGAAAGTCTAAAATAGGATTGGAGATGCTCTTAATCAAGGTTATTACTTTTTATGGCATTATTTTTGCAACCATAGTAATGTATACGATGAATTTGGTGCTAGAACAAATCACATCCTTCTATCCAAAAATAGAAGCGGGAGAGTGATTACTTAATTTGCAGCAAAGTGGTGCTGAAAGAGTAAATTAGTACTCTAGCAACACCAGAGCGTAAGCCTCTACGTATCAACCCCACTAGACATGCTGCGAAGATTAAATGAGAGGGTAAACTGTTGAAATAATGAACACAGGAAGATGAGGTGAAGACAGCCTTGTTGAAAGAGGCAAATTCCAATACACACCCAAATAGTGTCTGTCAGTATATATCCTTTTATCTTTATCTGTAGATTTAGTTACGCACTACTGACTATCCATGAGCCAGAAAGTCAGAAACCATTATAATTGTGAGAAATATAGGAAAAGAATATTATTGAATTGTTGTTGTGTCTACATTATTACATTGAGACCCTATTTATAGACCCTAGAATACAATCCTTTACCAAGTAGGATACTATTTAGTATTCCTATATCTATTTATTTTTTTGATAAGGTAACTTTATATTCACATCAAAACTCGTCAGCAAAGCCTGATGAGGTGGGATTTACAGCCCCCAGGGGGTAATTTCAAAAGCCAAAAACTGGGCAAAACTTTACAATTGAGCTTTAAAATCCACTAAGCTATCTACCTCCCCCGCCAAATCCTGTTTACACCAAAAATACAGCAGGCCCAAGCTATTCATCTTGATTTTCTGAGTGCTGTTAAGTTTCCCATCATGTGATCTTTCATTTCTTTCCTTCCACAATGTCCACCAAATGCAGGCTGGGATGCATTTCCACCAGTCCTCTTTGGATCTTCTTCTTCTGCCCACTCCTTCCCACTGTCTCAACAACTCTAAAGTAGTTTTGGGCATTACCCAGTTAATTCCAAGTATACATAAGAACATGTCCCACAGATTTGCAGCTGTTCTGCAGTGTAAGAATAAATTTCTATTCCTATTCTAATAGGATTGTATAAACCTATTCCTATTTTAACAGGATTGTATAAACCTATTCCTATTCTAACACTCCCCTCAAGCTAGTGCATACAATTCATGTACCTAGCTTGTTACAAATGTAATTAACACGAGGACCGATGAGGGGCTTGGTGAGATATCTGCAAGTTGATCACTCGACTTCACAAAATTGACAGTCAAGCTCAATGTGTTTGTCTTCTCATTAAATACTGGATTTGATGCATAATGTCAGTCAATCTCAATGTGCTTAATCTTCTCATGAAATATTGAATTTGATGCATAATGCCGATAAAACACAGAGTGATAAAATTACAGCGTTGAACTTCCCAAACCAAACTTGCAAAGATTGTTTCAGACCATAGAGTGACTCACATAATCGACATACAAGGCTACTAAACTCCCATTGAGCAACAAAGTGCTCAAAATCTAGTATAAAGTATATGGATCATGTTGGAATCAATAGATGAGTCGATATTAAACAAGTCACCGAAAAATTGGCTGAAACATGCTCATATGCCGGAGTATTAGATTTGATGGCTAAAAGTGGTCACAATCTAAGAAATAAAATTATATGGGTAGGGTGGGAATGATGTCACGACCCAACTAGAAAATAAAAATTATATAGGATAATTCGAATTGATGGAACGACCTCATTGAAAAAGAGAAATAATATGGGTAGGGTCGGAATGATAGCACGACCCTACTGAAAAAGAAAAATTATACGGGTAGGGTTGGAATGATGGCACAACCCTATGCAAATCAGATTTGAGGAGTCACCGGAAAGACGAATGGAACTATGCAAATCAAATCTGAGGAGTCACTGAAAAGACACATGGTGCTATGCAACTCAGATATGAGAAAATAGTTCAGAAAAAATCCACGGTACTATGCAAATTAAATATGAGAAGTAGTCCGTAGAGATGCACAGTGCTACACAAATAAGATATGCAAAAAAAGGTAGTCACCGGAAGGATGGCACGGTGCTACACAAATTAAATATGAAAAAGTAGTCACCAGAATGATGGCACGGTGCTACACAAATTAAATATGAAAAGTAGTCACCGGAATGATGCACGGTGACCCAACTTTTGGGCTGCATATATGGATAATAGCCACCCGCCGGCAGCGGAAGCTCTTTGGTTTTCTACCAAGATCGTAGAGGCTCTGATACCATGTGAGAAATATAGGAAAAGAATATTATTGAATTGTTGTTGTGTCTACATTATTACATTGAGACCCTATTTATAGACCCTAGAATACAATCCTTTACCAAGTAGAATACTATTTTGAAACGACCCCAAAAATGCCCGAAAATGTGCTTCGGAAACACCTAAAATTGTAATTTCCATATATCTCAAAATCCGTGCATCATTTCGGAAATTCGACTTCATATTCTTATTCAGGGGGTCAAATTGAGTGGGAAATGAGTCTAACCCGAATTTTAGAACAACCGTATCAAAATTCGAAAATCGCAAAAAATGCGATTTTGAGGGTCAACTTTAAAGGGGCATATCTCTCAGCACACAAGGAACTGGAAGGAGCTCAAACTATCAAAATTAAAGCTTTGTGAGTTAGCTTTCCAACGCAATTTGTTTCGCCTCATTCCGAGTTAGGATGAAGGAGTTATAACCATTTTCGTAAAACCTCGCCGGCAGAAAAGTGCCATTTCCAGTAAGCCGAAACACTGTTCACCCGCCCCATTAATTTTTCTAAGTGTTGGACAATTTTTTTTCCAAAAGGGCATATGATATTCCCTATATATCATTAGTTCATTCCAAGTCTCTAAAACATTTCTCAAACATCCAAAAACTCTCTCTAAACCCTCTCCAAAATTCCACCAAGATCATCAACCAAATTCAAGGATCCCAAGCTTTAATTCCGGACTCAAGATTCAATCTCAAGCATCAATTCTCCATTCCAATCTTCATCAAGGATTCTCCAAAGTTGAGGTATGTGGGTTTGATTGTGGAAACCTTCCTTTCCACAAGTCCAACCATTTATCCTCTATTTTACTCCAAGTTTATGGGTCCTTATGATCATTTATGAACTCTTGAATTATGGAATTATTACTACACATCCTATTATGGTCTATTCTTGTATGTTATCATGAAAAGGAATGATTATATGATGTTTATGGTTTTCATGCCTCCATGATCAAATTATGAAGGTTGTTATATATGTATATATATATGTAGGTTGTTGGTGGGCTGTTTTATATAGATTTTGAAATTGGTTGGACTTAGTACTCTTAAAATACATGATTTTATTTACATGAACAAGTAGCCCACCATATGTTTGATAAAATGCCATTTATAGAATTCTTATGAAATGGAAGGTCCAATGTACGTCCTATGAGTCGGATGATTATATAAGTATTGAAATGATGATGAAATGGATACATGTATATGATTTTCTCTATATAGTGTGTGAGTCGATCAAGCCTAGCTCGGGGGGTTGTAGGCCCGGGTAACCGTATCAAGGGGTTTGTACCTTGGTTGCCTAGTACGGGGGGTAGTAGGCCCGTATAACCATATCGAGGGGTTTGTACCTTGGTCCCTAGCTCGGGGGGTGGTAGGCCCGGGTAACCACATTGAGGGGTTTGTACCTCTTTCGCCTCTCCAAGGGGGTGGTAGGCCTTGGAAATACTATATTGATGGTCACTCACTACACATATACTATGCCCTACTAAATATGATTTTTATATAAGCATCATTATACATATCATCTCATTAATATGCTATCTATCGGGTACGATTATGCATTTTGCCTATGATGTCCATCCCTTGTTGCATTGCATTGCATCCCATATACTTAGTACATTCAACGTACTAACGCATACTCTATGCCTACATGATGTCACCATGTAGGGACCGGAGCACCGCTTGACCCTCGTCCTCCGCGTGGCTAATACGATTTTCTATCAAGGTTATTGGTGAGTCCTCCATTCCGGGGACGTTGCTTATGATCTTTTGCTATGTATAAGACTTTTCCTTTTAGTTATGTTTTGACTATGAGGGTGAGCCCAGTTGTTTGTCTTGGCCCCCGCTAAAGTACCTATGTTTAGAGGTGGTGTTGGACAAGTTGTGTATTATGCTTGAGCTTGACTCAGCTATGGTATTTAAGTATCATTTCTTCTTCTTCTTTTTTTCTTGCTCCCTTAGTCCCGATTTCCCCCTTTGATTATGCTTATGGCTTATGGTCATTTTAATTGCTTCCGCGACCAAGGATGTGTAATGATACGCTATGAGGCTTGTTTGGGGTTCCTTCGGGTTCCCCATTCGCCGGTCACGTCTAGGCCCTAGGCTTGGGTCGTGACATATTTAGTATTCCTATATCTATTTCTATTCCTATTCCTATTCTAATAGGATTGTATAAACCTATTCCTATTCTAACTATAATAAGATAAAATAGGAAGATAAGGTAAATGAGTACCATATTTAGTGGTAACTCCATTGACAGAATGACCCAAACCCCACTTAGTCAACACAATGGAGTCCAAACTCCTACAGGCCATGAAATGGTTCCAAAAGCAGAGAATCAACTTCTATTTTATGTAGAGACATATCCCACATAATAATTCCTAAAACTGCAGACAATAACAGTTATAAATATCTCAAGAGGGAGGTGCATTGTCTTCAAGCACAAGACTGCCCCTCTTACATTTATCTAAAAAAGCATAATGAAGCACCATTGCAACTTCTTAACAGGAATTTAATATAAATGTCTGTTGCTGAAACGATAGAAGGTCTTTTTCCATGGCATGTAGAATTTAGTAATCTATTAGAAGGAGCGATTCATTTTTTTTTCCAGAAAATACCTGAGCCAGTCCCATGCCAAAAGCAAACTTTGCAAGCGCTTTCAAGCGTGCAAGTGAAAGCTCTAATCCCATTTCAAAAAGCTGTAAAAAGATATTTCCTTGAGTCAGATTCAACCTTGCAACATTCTTAACAAACAAAACCAAGGATACAAGAGAAGAAATGTTTAATATTATATTAAATGCTTGATTAGAAAAATAGGGTATTAAAACAGATTAAGATCTTGATTCTCTAGATAAGACTTCCTAGAAATTTATAACAATGCAACAATCCACAAAGCATACTGACCTTTAAGCTTCTTAGGTATACTAATCATCATTATATTTCTTTACGAAACTAATCACACTATATGTTGTTGGATCAGAGGATTCCAGTTACTAAAAAACACATCTCTACTTAAGAATAATTTTTTAATCAAGTCAGGAATCTTAAGTTAGGTATTATCCTCTAAATAAACAGGGGATCCAGCTAGAAAGATAAAGAGGGAATCCATCACATCATATTACAAAAACAGGAGAAGCGAGAATTTTTTAATCAAAAAATTGAACGTGTAATCCTATGATGTGAAAGAAATGAAGGAGCAACATTTCCATTCTACCAGATGGAACAGCAGAGCATATTCCCCCATTTAAGATATAGCAAGTTTAAAGTAACATTTTTTTTATCAAGTAAAACAAAGTTTGAAGTGACATAACTTGGGGTGACAGCAAACGTAGAAACCTTCTGAAATATCAATTACTAGGCTTTTGTTTCCATTGAAACGTTGCGTTTAATTAAAATCTAAGTTCTATCCTGAAAAATAAGCATAAAACTTTTTTATCCTCCTCAAAAGAAAGCACAAGGCTGTCTATTCTTCTTTTGGCTTCCTTATCCAGCAAAATATACTCACTGCAGCAAACCGTTGTGATATCAGTCGTGAATTTTCATGATAAAGTTCCATATAAAACATGTTTCTGTTACTTGATTTCAGTCCTACTGTAACTTGTAAAAGGACTTTGAAACATTAACCGTCAATAGCTTGGAATGGTAAAAATAAACTTAGAACCTTTTCAAATATCAATTACTTCGGTTTTGTTTCCATTGAAATATTGGTATTAATTAAAAGCTAAGTTCTAAGAATAAAGCTTTCTCATATTTATTCTTTTGCCTTCCTTATCCTGAAAAATAGTCCTACCTTAGAAAACAATCGCAATGTCACCCTTTCATTTTCATGATTAAGTTATGTATAAAACAATCTCCCCGGGCCAAGTGGTTCACGGTTCGAAACTCGATGGATAATGGGTTCACCCTCTACCCTTCTCCACATAAATATCTGGATTTTAACTGCGCTTGACCCAAACATCACAAGTTGCGCCTCTTACCACTAGACTAGAGCTAGTAACGTATCATTTTTAGGCATAAATACAGGAATTAACTACATCTTCAACTCACCAGAACATCAATGCACACAAAAAAGTTTTAAGTTAAACAACACAACATATGATATCACTTCCATTCCCCCCCCCCACCCCCCACCCCCCACCCATCCACCACCCCAAAACAAAAGTCTAACCCAACTGAAAAATTAAATCACTGATCTTAACTAAAATGGTCTTTGCTTGTCAGCATACATTTAATTGATTGTTTTTCATTGATCTTTCTATACGAACATACATAATACAAGTTTTTTCCAAATAAGTCAAGACGCAAGCAATGGGAAAGATGAATATAACATCAGATACTATCATATGCCCCAGATCCTATAAGTAAATATGAGTAGTTATGGATCTGTCAGTGTTTGCCCAATACTCGCTAATTGGAAGTTTGGAGTTGGACAGGTTAAATTTCCAAGGTGCTCAATTACAATAGAGCATTTGGAATTTGAATCTGTCAAAAATGCCCTCAACGTATTAGAAATGGTTCCAATTTTCCTCTCCTTCCACCTACTAGATCAAATTTGCCCCTCCTTCCACCTATTGGTTCAAAAATGCCCTTAACCTGTTCCTCAAAAAAATGCCCTTAACCTATTATAAATAGTTGATATTTGCCCTCCTCCTTCTACCTAAAAAATGTTTATCAACTATTAACTATTAGATAATATGCCCGTGCTTCGCGCGGTCTTAAATATTTTATTAGAATTTATAAACATAATATATTTATAACATCAAAATATTTTTTAGCCTTCAAATTGGAATAAATTAAGTCTCAATTTTTTAATCTTTTTTACTACTACTAGCATCTTAGTTATGTATCTGTTTTTTCCCATTACTTAACAATTTCAGACTTTAAAATCTACTGAGATTTTTGTATAATTTATGTTTAGAGATATTGTATTTACACTCTTTCTTAAGAAACATCTTAACAGAAAAAAATATCTTTTTGTAGGCATACATGCATAATGAAATTCCTCTTTCCCTGTGACTAAGATAATATTTTTAAACAACATACATTCGGGTCAATTTACATGTTAGTTCATATATTTTGTAAGTACTTCTATTAGGTAAGACAACATTTAGACAAACAACCAAGAACTTTCCAAAAAAAAAATTATAAATCAAAAGGAAACTAAATAATTGTCAATGTATAGTAAAAAAAATTATTGACATATAATTAGAACTAGAAAATATTTTTGAGTCATTTCTAAAATGTCAAGGGAATCTTTGATCTAATAAGTACAAGGAGGGGCAAATTTGAACCATTTCTAATTGGTTAAGGGCATTTTTTATCCAATAGGTTGAAGGAGACATTTTTTAACCATTTCTAATACGTTAAGGGCATTTTTGAACATTTTCCGCTTATAGAAAAAATAGAAATGGGAGAACTAAATAGCTAAGGATTCATAACGCAAACTGCAACTAGTTTGAGATTCAGGCATAGTTGATTGTTGATCATTGATTGTTGCTTGATTGATTTAGATAATCAATAAGCGCTTCCTACTCTAATAAATAGGATTTGCAAAAAGTCAGAAAATCAAACGTGCAAGCAAATAACATAAATATTGGTTGACCTTTACAATATGAAATATCTTTTTTAACAATTTTGGTGCCTGAGCCAGCTTGTGCACACTTCTACTAATTCCACGGGGTGCCTGCTTCCTCTCACCAGCACATGTACATGAAATATGTCTAAACCAATAATATTCACAGGTGCCTATGCTACTTTGCAATGGATGTCATTATCAAAAACAATAGAGTATATAAATAGGCTGAAAGAAGGCAAAACGGTGTAAGGTCACCTCCAACTTTCTCTGTAACTGATTCCCTCAACAAATACATGATTAAAAACATGATTGCACTTTAGCAAGGGGCGCCATTCTGTGTTTTATTTAAGAGAGTGAAAGTGGAAGGAGTAGGAATTTATGAATAGAACAATAACAAACAAAACATGGTGATATGAAGAAGAAAGAACAAGAATAAATGAAGGGAAAGACTGACAAACTACTTACTCAGTTACTCATAAGTTAACTCTTTACCGACTTGGGTTTCTTGCTTTTAAGTGGTAAACAAACACACTACATGCACGGTCAAATGTTCAAAATGGGATATACAGCAACCAATGAGCTTACCAAGAAAAGAATCCCCCACTCCGAAAGAACCTTAACATCCGTGATGTTTCTGATCAGCCCAAATTGATTAAGCACAACTCCAGCAAAGAAAAAACCAAGTATCTGAAACCAATAAATAGATTAGCACCATCTGACTACAAGAAAACAGTACTATACAATCTCTGTCTTAAACTTCGGTGACATGAAATTTTGATGCGACTCCAACAGATGACTAGATTACAAATGAATTCATACCATGTTCTCACATATAAACCATTAGATGCATAGTTAAACAATTATTTGCAAATATGGGTGGAAAATTACTTCATGGAATATTTTTTTACGCATCTTAAAAGTATAATCACTTCTAAGAACTTCCATGATTTTGCCTAGGACGCCAAAGAGTCATTCAGAGAAAAGAGACACAGTGGTTTGGGCTTGGACTTCCATGTTGGAGGTCTCAAGTTCAAAACCCCTTACCAGCGAAAGCAAGGGGTTTGCCTTCTGGGTCAGCTCGTCGCACTGGGGTTGCCTAGTGCGGGTTACCTCTCCTATGTGGTTTGCGAGCTATTGCATAGGAGCGGGGTTTTACCCTGTGTGCACCCAAAGGGTAGCGGCTGCGGGTTTCCTTTGTCATCAAAAAAAAAAAGATGTCTATAAGAGCCTTCAGCTAGACTTGAAATGTTAATTATCAGTGGAAAGCATTAAATAACGCTCTCATAGAGAGGTCAAATACATCAAAGACTTCACCTAGATGATGTAAATTTTAACTCAAATGCCAGTGCAAGTACCAAAAATGACTGGTAGTTAGGACTTAGGACCATAATACAGTACTGTGGTTTCCAGCTAAGTTGTACGGACTCTTCACTTTTGATGCGGCACTCGTGTCGGATTCTCCAAATATACACTACTTTTGGCGAATCCGACGTGCATCCCTTGACATTTTTGAAGAGTCCGAGCAACATAGGTTTCCAGTGATTAATAATTTATGTTGAAACGCTAACAACTGAGTTCAGATAAACTCAGTGTAACAAGTATAGTAAAGGTCAAATATCAACAATTCAAAGTTTCTTTCATCAAGTCAAAAAACAGCTTTATTCTTTCTCACTGGAAAACACAAGTTCAGGCAAGTAAATCTTTGGGTTGAACTTGGGTGTAATATCGATATCATGGACATACATGTTCTAATGTTAACTTAGGATAGAATCCAAGATACAATGTGAGCTGATATTGTTCACATTGGCTTTTGACAATACGGATCAAATGAAGGCATATAATTCACTCAGATCAATGTTGTCATGATGTAAGGCAAGTGAGCAGGTCTACAAAAACTATCATGTGTTTATTCCTGGATATTTTCATTTTGGAAGGCAATTTTAGAAACTAATATCATGTAAAGGGCTGCTTTTCCTTGTTAGGATACACTGAAAGATATACCTTCCCATGTAAACTATCTGCATTACATCAATATTGACTAGAAACTCGATTTGGTCTTAAGATCATGAAGTGTACTCACTAATGCCTCAATGCTGACATAGGTAATCTTGACGCCAGCTAAGGCCTTATTTAACCCTAAAATTCATCAGCAAAATTTACTTCACTAAAATAGTCAACTCTGTTTTTGACTAAAGTATCAAATAACAAAAGGAGAGTAGCACTTGATTTGAAAAGCGGAAATCTTTCATTAAAAAGTACTTATCTGTTGACACATACACGCATAACCAATTATAACATGAAGCAAACAACGAGGAAGGACTTGAATAATGTATTTTTTTGAACTTGGTAACTTTAGGACTTGAATAATGTATTCAACTCACAGGGCTAGCTTTTATGGTCTTGAAGGCAGGAACAATGAGTACAGTCACAGCTAAGAATGTCAAAGTGTCTAACCCAAGGTCATTGATAACATCAACAGCACTTGCAACATCAAGTGATGCATATATCTGAAACCTACACCTCAAAGATTTTTGGTGTTTTAAGATACAAACTCCTCTTCCGCTGTACGAAGATGAAAAAGGTGTACGTTTGCAAACACCATTTGTTCCCGAAGATGGATGGTTTATCTTGTGATATGAAGAAATATGAACGGATTTGTTATAGGCATATGATAGATTAGAATAATGTGGATGCAAACAAGAAGCAGAAAAGGTGGACCAGGTAGACCTCGTTTGAGCTCTTACATTATATCCCTGCAAGGTAAACATATTAATTGTCATTTATTTGAGTGTATATATGATCACTAGACAATCTTAAAGAGATGCAGAGACTATAAAAGAAAAGGAGAAATTCAGATGAAAGCAGCACTAGGAGAAAGGTAAATAAGGTTATAGTGGCATTTATGTATTGCAGAATTCAACCATCTGGCTACAAAATTAGATGTGCAAAATAGTATAGCATTATAGGGTAATAGTAGTAATTGAATTTGAAGATTATGATGAATTTGTAGGAGGAAACCTGAAGAATACAATTCATACCTTGGGAGCAGGATAGCGACGGATGAAGTCACACATAGTATTTACTATGAAACACACAAAGCATTGAGCAATGGGAACATCAACAACCCTCCCTCACTGTTAATTTTTTATATTGAGAATATGAATGGTGAGCAAAACCCAAAAGGGAATGAAGAGGGTGATGAGTGGCCACGCTGATTGTTGCTGTTGCTGTTTAGAGAGAGAGAGAAAGACAAAAGAGTTTTAGAAGAAGGATTGAGGAGCTCGGAAGCAATGATTCATGGACCAAAATGGATGTTGAAGATTTTCTCTGACAAACCCCCTTTTTTACGTGGCCTTAATTTATCCCAACCAATTTCTTTTGAAAATGCCCATAATTGACTCTTTGGTGGACTAATACTCATTGTAAACATAATCTTAGCGTATAATCAGGGGTGACAAATTAGCGGGTTGAATTGAAATTGAAAAAATCATATATATATATATATATATATATATATATATATATATATATATATATATATATATATATATATATATATATAAAAGAGAACTCTAGGCCCGCCGACGTGGCGCCACCACAAACCAGGATTTCCTTTTAATTATTTATTTCCAAAATTAACCTTCCTTTTCATGAAAAGTTGTGACTTTTATGAAGAGTGTGACTTTTATAAAGAGTTGCAGCTTTTACGAAGAGTTGCGACTTTTATGAAGAGTTGAAACTTTTATGAAAAGTTGCTACTTTTATGAAGGTTGTGACTTTTCCAAAGAGTTGTGCCCTTTCCGATAAGGCACAATAAGCATTTGTTCACACTACCTTTTATTGTCTATAAATAGAGAGATTTCCTCTCATTTTAAAACAACGAAAATTCTGAACTTTTTCTTCTTCTGCACAATTAAATATTCCAGTACTTTGCTCATGTTGAGTAGCTCACTGACACCATTGTTTTTGTATCAATACACTGCTGAATAGAATCGTTCTATCTTGAGAGGATCTATTCCTTTAAAACTCGGGTACTAGAGGGGAATAATTTCATTAAGGGGACAATGTGAATTCAGTGGGCTCCATTTTTTCCTTTCTGTTTCATTCGATTGTTACAGATGCTGATATGGTTTTTTACAGTCATTAATTTATGTTTATGTTATTAATTGCTATTTTTAGTACATGTTTTAAACTTTGTTGTTTATGCTTATACTGTAGATCATTATGTTGAAATAAACATATGTTAGAGTTTAATGTAATCATTAGACTATTGGTGTCATGTAGATTCGAATTCTTAAACTTGTGAAATGAATGACTTTGATCTTTATAGAGTTTTCCGTGACCAAAAGAATCATGGTATGTCCAAGAAGGGACTTTTGAGTGTTCAGAAGTTGTGGTGGTTTCACACTACCTTGGAGTTTTAGTTATTCAATTTTCTATCTTCTAAAGGGATTCAATTGATTAGTGACATAAAAATAAAAATAAAAGGAATGTAGTGGGATGGTAAGTATTGTACTCAACCTTAATCAAAAGTTTGGGGTTCAAATTTCGGATTTGAGTCAATGAATTACCCCTCAAAGTAGGATGAATCCATATTAATCAAATCTTAAAGAAATAATTATCTTCTTATAAACATTAGATAAAGTTTTAACCATATTGATTGAAACATAAACAACAAAATATGCCTTTTGGCTATCAAAGTAGTGTCATCGATTGCGAATGATTTTGAATAAGGGACTTGCCAAGACATCATTTAATCCAAATTATTTGAGCGACATACATTATTTCATTGAACTCCAAGAGATGTGTTTTTATATTTTAATTTACTTATCAAGTACACAACTAATTACATAAGATGTATAACATTTAGATTCTATATGTAGAGACCTTGAATAGAAGAAAAACTCTAGCAATTGATGAATAAAATGTTTGTATCACTTTTCGAAAATACAAATATAGACAGTGAAACAATTACATATATTCTCTAAAGAATTTGGTGATGAAGAACTAGAGTAAAATGAAGAATTAATAACAAAATGCATAAACAATTAGAATCAAATCTTTTTGGTTTTAAGATTAAAAAAATATTTCATTTCATCTTTGGATAAAATATTCTTGACAATTTATCGTAGGGCTTTACCCACTCGAAAACACTTATATTATCAAATGTTCAGAAGCATATTATTGACGTAGTTCACCACCGCGTGAAGCGCGGGCAATTTACCTAGTATTAAAATGAATTGAAATAGAAATTGGGTTGAGTCATGGCCCTCCTAAGTTTACTTTGGCTCAAATGAGCTTAAAAATGGGTTGGACTCAAATGGGCTTAAAACGAATTGGGTCAAGACCCGCTCAATTCGACTCACTTTAATCTCAATAATTTTAATATATTGTTATTTAAGTTTTTTATAACCACAATTTGAATTTCAACTCAAGAAATTTTTAAAAAAGAAGTTATAAATGGATAGATAAATCTTAAAAGATATAAAATAGATAGTAATATAGGAACACATATTACAATGAAAATAAAGAGTCTTAAAATGGGTTGAAACTGGAGATTAAATTGGGTTCAATTGAAGATTTTCTTAAAATGGGTTAAAGCTTGAATGGGTTGAATTGAACCCAATTCAAATTGAGCCCAACCCTTAAAATTATGGGCAGGTTACCTATAGTTGAGCTCATTTTTTACACCCCTACGTATAACTATTTAGGAAATTAAACCTAGTACAATAAAACTTCACTAAATTAATATAGGTGGGACCATAAAATGTTATTATTTTGTAGAGGTATTATTTAATTGATAAGTTAATACTTATTAATTTAAAGAGTTTTTTGAGATTTAGTGAAGGTTATTTTTTATTACATCAAAATCATCGGTATCTTACTAATTTATGTATCATATTTATTGAATTTATACAAAAAAAAAATGCATCATACATAGAGTATGTGTATGGGTCAAATAATATTTTTTTTTTAAAGATGATATAATACTTTTGGAACTAGTTATGCATAAGGAAGATCCTATCACATCTAGATCTCTTCACAATTTTATGGTGCAATTCGAAAATACAACATCGGAACTTTTGGATGCAATAAGAAAAGTTAGAGATGAACTTCAACTAAATTTAAATTTTAACAAAAATAAAATAAAAATACAATAAAATTATATTTCACTAAAATGTCTTAGATATATTTGTAAATTTAAAGAATTATTAATTTATAATATTAATGGGATCATATATTTATATATGTGTCTTCTGAAAATATCTTATCTTATTATTTTATTGAAATGAGTAATTTTTTCCATTGGCCCAAGTCGGGACCGAAGGAAAATATTATCTTAGAGAGATTATTAATTTACTGAGTATTAATTTAGTAATGATTTGTTGTACTAGTATGCTCATATTAGCCTTCATTTGTTATTCGTCATAACAAAAAAAATTGCATTGAATGAGTGGATTGCCCATTGAGTTAATACATGAACTACTTATTCATATTCCCTAAGTTCTATGAACCTTTCTGGATAAGAATGTATCTATTTATAATGACACTTAATATGGTGACTTTTGGATTAATTTCTCAATCTATAAATAGGCTTGTTCTTTCACCATTATAAAGATACACAAAAAGACATGAAGACATTTGAATAAGATGATCTCTACATTCTACCCTCCATATATCTTGTCTATATTGTTTGTGGTAAATTGCTTATATTTTACAACACATTATCATCATGAAACTCTAGCCAATTGAGATTGAGTTTTTCTTTAGCTCATGTTCTGGTTGATTTCGTTATGAGAATCAATAAGAAAAAATGATAACTACAAAAATCAAGTTATTATATGCATAAAATCAAGTATGTATTTTCTAGAATCTTTTTATGATTTAGAATACAATAGTATTAGGTCACTAACATTGACCAGGAACCAAAGACATATACTATTACTGATTGAATATGACATGCTCTACAAAATTCCTTAAATGGAAGAAGGTATACAATTTTAGTAGCATAAGTTTGAATATTATTTTGATTATTTTGAAAGTAGGTCTCCCCTACTTTTTATTTTTTGACTTAAAAGTCATTTCAGTTTGACTTTTTATTTTTTACTAAAAAGCTACCTTTTTAAGCCAATTCAAATGGGCTCTAAGTATCTTGGGGTCATGAGTGGGTTTGCAAGGGGCTTTACCGTATCATGTGACCTGGATCCCCACAACCAAAACAAGACCTTAGTACGAATGATTGTTGTGATGGTCCAGATGTGCTAGTATGGCCACCTCGGCAAGTACTGTAGGACCCTCAAGGTGTCTGTCCACCCTCGACTGCGGGCATAGATGCATGAATGGGCCCACGATGCTGGAAAGAGTCACCACCTTTGTGCGAATTGCTACCTCTAGATGAGGCACCAGTGGCCCTCTTGGGGTCTCCAAACTTCTCTCTCACTATCAATTCCGCCTCTTTGGCAGTACTCATGTTGTATTGGAAGGAATCCCCCTCTCGAGCTTCTAAACATATAAGATCTAATGGAAAAAGTCAACTCTCTCACGAACCTACGGACCTTCTCTGCCTTATCTAGAACAGTGGTCATAGCATGCCTAGCCAAGTGATAGAAACGGGCTTCATACCCTGTCACCGACAAGCTACCATGTCTTAAGTCCTCAAATCCCAAATGACTCTCCTCTGTCATGCTCCAAGGGATGAATAGGTCATAAAAAGAACTATTTAACATATCCCAAGTAACTGGAGGAGACCCAACTATCCTAAACCCCACATATATCCTCCACCACTCTATCGCAGGCCCTCGGAGTTGGAGTGAAACATAATGAACACCATATGCATCAACCATACCTACCGCCTATAGCAACTCGTGGCATATAGTCAGAAACTCGTGAGCGTCCTCACTCTTCCCACCCTAAAATTGGGGTGGTTTTATTTTTTGAAACCACTTATATCTACATTGTTCTCCTCTGCCAGGTCTACCTCGGGAGAAATCTATACACCAACAGTCGATGCGGGACCCACTAGTGGCTGAATAACCAAAGCTTGATGCTGCTCTAGGATCGGAGACCCTCTCTGAGATCCTTGTAGTGTGCCTACTGCCCCACCACACTGAGAGAAGCTCTACAACACACTCACCATCCTCAACAATGTATCCTGAAACAAGGGAGTTGCTGTCACGACCCGAGAGCACCCCCTAGTCGTAACCGGCGTACTCGACCTCTCGGAGGTCTAATACAAGCCTCTTAGCATTCATTCATTGCATAAAACTAAAAACCATAATGAATTAAAAACTTTCTTTACAAAGAAGACATTTCATAAAAAAAAAACAATAGCAAGCGGAAGACTTTCTAGACTTTATACATGATGTCTCAAAACCATCTAATACTTTAGAGTACAAAATTCGGGACCAATCCCATACACAACTTAAACAATACTAAAAAGACATAAAAGAACATATGGGGTATTGTCCTCGAATATATGAGGACTCACCAAGTCTTCATCTTCAACACTTAGAAACCTATCAAATAGCCATGACATGTCATCATCTCCAAATCCCTACACTTTAGTCCAAAAAGGGAAAGAAAGGGGTTAGCACAATTAAGTACTAAGTATGGAGACCATGCAAAAACATGCCAAAAAGGACATTTTCAAGGAAGTAAATGCTTTCATATCATTTGATAAAACCTTTCCTTTACAAGTATAAGAGACATAATACAAGTCAACATTAACATATAAGACTATAGCCAACCATACATATACTCAACATATGTCCATAAACAACTCATGCTTAACTTTAAAAGAACACATGTCATTTCATTACCATAGGACCTCTACCTAATATATTCTTAAGACACACTTGAGTGAGACAAGAAGTGACTGCCCATACAACCTCTTCAAGCACACTTAAGTGTTCCCCAAGATTACCTTAGATAAGGACATTTCCTTTACAACATAACATCAATAGACCAACATTCTTTAAGAAACCATTTTGGAGACATTCAAGCACATAAGGGGACTTTCACATAATAATCGTTAGACTTAGGAAACTCACTTTAGTATCTTCAAAGCCTACTCGTGCCATGTGTAGATAGCATCCCATACTACTACCTACACGTTGTAGAACCTATCCAATAACTAGAGTGCACATCCCACATGATGGGAATAGGCATTAACCGACATAGACCATGCGAGCTAGACATGGAATCCGGTGTCATAAAACCCTACACCGTGGAAGGTGTTCTACTTGCCAAAGGTAGAACTAGTAAGCAACCCATGTAGGCACATGGTTTAGGGGATATCCAAAGATGTTCATTGTACTCTTGCCTCATACTCGGGAGAGCTACCATCTTAACCATATCCACTCGGTGCTTAGCCTTAGTTCCCATAAAGTAATTTCATTCACATATATGTGCTAGAGAGGGCACCATCATTAGGTCTACCGACCCATAGCACATCTACCAAGAAGGGCACCACAAGGATCTACCGATCAATGTTCATTAAGGATAGCTCATTAAATCCCCCTGGAAGGGTGCCTTAGGCCTACCGATTTTTCATTAAGGGTGCCTTAAGCCTACCGGTCCAAGGTTTATCATTTCACACATGAGAAGGGCTACCACCATTAGGTCTACCGATATCATGGTTTTACATTTACTTAGGAAAGCTAGACTTATGAAAGGGCACCATTTCTTAGTTTTGCCAATTCAAGTCTTGGCCTAGAATTCCTCTTTTAGCATTTATAGAAAGGGCACCATTTCTTAGTTCTAGCCCACTTCACACTTTCATGCATTCAAGACTTTAAGTAACAAGGAGGGACACTTTAGTCTACCAACCAAGTCACAACATTTTCATTTAAGGATACTTCATAATCCAACATCATTTCATATATACATCATGAGAAATCATACTTTAACTCACAATGCTATCCACTTTACATAGGATCATCACAAGATCACATAAAACTCATTCACATCATACCTTTACATATAGCTTCATATAAAACTCATTCACATCATACCTTCACATATAGCTTCACATAAAACTCATTCACATTATACCTTCACATATAGCTTCACATAAAACTCATTCACATCATACCTTCACATATAGCTTCATATAGGACTTTACATATAGCCTCATATGTGTATAATAATACAACAATATAATAACATTCACATAATGCCCTTCATGGCCTCAATTCACAATAATACAACAAATAACCACCTCCACCAAAGGTGGATCAAATCAACCAATAACAATTATATTAATACTAAGAGATCAAGCCATCTTACCACCCTTTTCAAAGGCCATAAGCCACAATACTCAATTCCATGCCAATTATACAATATTTATCAAGTTTGATCAACTTACCCTCTTTCCATGGCTATCTTCATCATCCTTATATTCCAACAATTAACAATACAATAACAACGATAATAACAACATTCAACTATACAAGCTAAGCTAAGCATAAGCCAATAATCAACATGAAGACCAATTCACAATTTTGTCCATTCAAGGCTAACATCCCACATCCTTCAATTCACTAACAATTCTTAACAATTCCACATAGATAAATACATATATGAACAGTCCACAACAATCTACACAATAATCATCCATCAATTACACAAAATCAATACACCCACTTTAGGCCAAATTTAGAGAATTTGAGAAGACATGGGTTCATGAGAATTTCTTTCTAAAAACCATTAATAATCATTAATAACCATATAAATCATCATTTAAAACCTTTTTATGCAAGAACCCATGCTAGAATCGAAATAGGTTTTTGTGTGTAGTTGAAAAACCTTGAAAACCTTTTGATTGGGTTCCTTGAAAGAAAGAATAATCAAGGATAAGGATCCCCATACCTCTAAGTTGAAAACCCACGAAAATTGGAGAAGAAGCACTCGAAATCTTCAACCCTAGCTCCAACTCCTCTTCTTCCTTGAGTTAGAGAGAAATATTTGAGAGAGGGAATGATTTTTTTGGAAATTCTAAGAGGAGTGACTTAAATGAGAGGAATTAAGTCATCAAAAGGTCTTATAGTTGTTAGGAAAAGAATAAAATAACATAGGGTCAATTTTGGAAAAGGACTAAGGACCATAAAGTCTTAACTTAAAAATTCTACCCCTTCCCGACTTAGTTCGCCCTTTTTTTTCAGCCTGACAGTGCTTCAATATTTCGGGCATAACTTTTTACTCCAAGGTCGGAATTGGGCAAACTCGGTGGCGTTGGAAAGAGGACTCAAAGACCTTTAATTGGATAGGTAAAGGTCCACCTAATTCATTTTGAGCTAAAAGATATGACCATTTAAAGTTGACCCTTACAACTCACTAGTTCAAATGACTAGTTTCCGGACGTCACGGTCATTTCTCATCATTTCATCAAGTTCTCAACTCCAAACTCACATGTGAGGCTCTAGTTTCACTAGTTCATTTTTAGGGTCGTTACAGTTGCTACCTGCTCGGGAGGAACCTGGTCCTCTCCAATCTCAACTTGTGGCTCTCGGAGACCTCTCTAGCACTATCTCTAATTGGTGCCACTTTATAGGCACAACCTCTAGTTGGTGCCACTCCACAGGCACAAGCTCTATCTTGGGCCCTACCTCTAGCTGGGATCTCAGCAACTGCATGGGATCGTTTTCCCCTCTACCACCAAAAAAAGTAGCTCTGGTCATCGTCATCTTCCAATAGAACATGTAGAAACGCAGTATTAGAGAAGGTAACCATACATGATAAGAAAGAATGAATAAAAAAAAGTTTCCTAACAATCTTCAAAGGTATCACATGTGTACAACCCAAGTCTAAGTAGAGTCTCGGGGATCGGCATGCATGTGAACATGCCTATTTGCATCAATTTTGGAACACTATGATGAGATATCTTATTATTGATGTCGAGGTCTGTTCTAGCGAGTGCTATTGATGTCGAGGTCTGTTCTAGCGAGTGCTATTGATGTCGGGGACTATTTTGGCAAGTATGTTGATACTAAGATCTATTTCAGAAAATGTTAATAATATCAAGGTCTTATTCGACAAATGTTATCAGAGGTTCATAGGTCTTATGTGTGTATAAGTCAAATTTAAGTAGAGTTCCAAGGATCGGACAGAGACATATGTCATGTTCCGCCACTTTACCAGTCAAATTTTGCATTCGGATAGGAGTAGAATAATCTAGAGTTGTGGAGAGGCTTATGGAGAACTCTAGAACCCCTTAGATATTTCAAGAAGGCTTTGGAATATCCTAGAATATGTAGAGAATTCTAGAGAGGGACTAAAATGTAAATACGTTAGGGACTTGTAAAGTAATTATTATTTGCACTTTAGCCCCTAGGTTGTAGTGTAAATAGATGGGGCATTCATTTGTAAGGCATCAAGAAAGTTGTAAGCAATCTTCCACAAAGCAATACAAGTCTTCTTCCTAAAACTCTCCAAGTCTTTCTTGCATTCTGTTAGCGGTCTTAGTTTAAAGGGCTTACTTGAGCTTACAAGATCTTAAAAGATTAGTGAGTAATTTGTCAAGTGCCTCATGGAGCTTTAGTGAGACTCTAAGTCCGTGACAACGTGGTATCAGAGCAAATGTTTGATACTAAGAGAATGGCCAACGAATGAGACTTTAATGCCGCTAGTACTACCAACGTCAGGCTGGATGGTGGAAAGAAGAACCGCAAGGGAAAGAAGTATCTTA